TACATCACCATCCTGTCCTCATATCATCATCATCATTCTCAAGCATCAACTAAAACATTCTAGCTCTGGGACATCGACATCGACATCTATTCGTCCTGCATATCCTCTGGCAACTCGTGCGGATTCAGCATGCCTGGAATATTACGCTGCATTTGATGTTTGTTGGATTGCTCCTCGGCCAGAGCCGCTTCGCGCTCCTCCAGATACAGATCGGAATCGTCCTCGCCGGTGGCCTCCTGCAAGTTAATTAACATGATAATATAGTATCATATATAATACAGAATATATCCCAGTTATACTCACGCGAATCTGTATGAGGAAATCTCTCAAATGCTCCTTAAATGCTTGCACATTCTCGTCCAAATTGAAAAGGCCAGTGACAAAGACTTTGATCTGATTATCGGACAGATGGTTGAATGCCGATTTCAGCAGTGACGCCACATACTCCTGTATGAATATCATATTATCTGGTATCGGACCCAGGTCTACCGTAATCTTCCTGTTCTCCACCAGTGAGAACATGTACGCCAGGATGATGGCATGATTGGGCAGACCTGCCGTGTGGGAGGTGTCGGTCACCACTGAGAATATCTGCATCAGAATATCCGTGAAGTAGGTCTGGTAGAAGCTCTGCGCCGCAACTGGATGCTGGTCCAAGTTTTGAAGCATCTGTAATGGGAGATTATATTGTTATTCAAGAACTTAGAGTTTTAAGAGATCAGTTCAGCATAGGATATGTTGCTATATGTTGTTATTTTCACCTTGAAGAGGATATTCAATCCCATGTCGGCCACATTGCGCATGGTGTGCTTGAATGCCCACACCACCGAGTCAAAGACCAGTTTGAACTGAGCCGGCGGTATGTTGAGGAACGCCTTGAAGCAGTGCGCATTGACCGCCTGCAGCAGCTCGTAGAAGCTTAGCCGGTGCTGGGGGAAGTCCTCAAAGTTCTTGTTGATCATGTCCAGCGTGCACTCAAAGACGGCGTCAAATATTTTTGGTACTTCATTGGTGATATGCTGGCGCAATTTATGCACAATGGTTGCCATAGCACTTAGAACCTTGGGCTCACGTGCCGATGGAACTTTGCAGCGCTAAAAAATAAGAGTTATCTTAGTATCACACTATAATAATAAATTGATATACTAGGATTGTTTATTGTTAGTTTCTTTTTGGGTTTGGAAGTTACTTTAGAGACCTTACCTGATAATCTAGCAATATAGCATCCAGCAAAGGCGGTATGAAATTGTCCATCACCAACTGATTGTCGTTGGAGCGCGACACCCATTCGGATATTAAGTTGAGCGTCTCCTTCTTGACCACATGCATGGTCTTGATCAGGGGCTGATTGTTCACATTGACGCCGTTCACCTCGATGGCCTGGATGATGTTCTCCGACGTTATCTTGTACACATTCAACATGTCCAGATATATGCGGCCCAGTTGTATGACGTACGCGTGTCCCAGGGCCTTGCAGGCGGCCACATTCGTCTTTAGAATGCTGCCCAGCTGCTTAACAGCGGTCATGTTCTTCAGGAAGTCAACGTTCTTCGAGGCCCGGGATATGATGTCATCCCACACCTGGTTGGGCAGTTGCATGTACCGCTCAATAAGCATGTCCTGCTGCACCTGATCCACTTGGGCGGAGATCATGTAGCCGACAGCTTCGTAGAACGTATGAACCTATAAATTAGAATAAAATTATTTTAAATTTTAAATACAAATATAAATTAACTTACAACTTAGGAACTTATAATAACTTAACTAATAACTATAGAAACACACCTGCTGCGGCTGCAGATCACAAATAATGCTACTCATTGTTGTGAGAATCTCGTCAATAAAGGTGCATGCCTCATTCGGCTGGATGGTGACAAAGTAGCGGCGACACTTGATGGCAATCTTGATGAACGTGTCGCATGCCATGTCCTGGACACCATCGTGCGTTTCGTGCATAAATTCGAAGAGTTTGTTTACCACCGTCTTGAGGAATTTCCAGTGGGCGCGCAGAAAGCGCGGATACTGTCCCACCACGTACATGATATTGGAGGCAATGATGGCCTTGTTGTCCTTGCCTTTCTTCTGCTCGCACAGACCTAACAGATCCTTGATTACGGTGACCAGGAATCGTTTCTCGTCCTCTTCACAGAAAGCACCTAAAGGAGGGGATTCATATTGATGGATATTAGTAAACTAAAGAAGATATAGGTTTTAAATCATGTTTGATCCGATGATTAAGCCTTAGTTTACACAAACTGGAAACAAAAAAACCCAGCTCACCGGATATGGAACCAATGGCCCAGCACAGTGTGTTCAGGTTCTTCCAAGAGAATTCCGATCCGTTCACCTGATTAAGCAGCTTTAGCGTCATGATGCGGTCCGTGTCCACAGAGTCCAAATGGGTGAGAAAGACCAGCGTTTCGCGCATGTTCTTGTACAGATTGATCGAGTTGGTGTCCTTCATGAACTCGCGCACCACCTCCCCGTTCTCGTTCTCCACCACCAGCACCTCCTCCGGCTTGGCCATGCGCGAGATCATAATAAATCGCACCTTGGACAAGATGGGGGCGTAGAAGCGTCGCCGGGGATAGACCTGCTGCCTCTTTGAGGACTCCAGGGTGGGGTGGAAAAACTCCGAGTTGTACAGGTCCTCCACCAGGCTGTTCCAATACTCCAGGCAGATTTTGAACACCTCCACGTCCTCCACCTCGCTGATCATTACCAGATACATGAGCGCCTGGTTCAGGTAGTCCACATACTTGGCATCCTCCACCAGTTTGCCGTGCTCCTTGAGGAAGGTGCACAGGAACATGGCCAGGTTGAGGACCAGCTCCTGCTCCGTATCGGTGCCGTGCTTGAAGATGTGATTCATGTTCATGTTCTGGCCGACGATCTGGTCCAGCTGCACCATCGTGTCCTTGAAGAGCGTGGCGAAGTTCTCATCGTAGTTGGTCGCCGTCAGGCCGGCGATCTCGGACAGGCACTTCAGGGTCACATTCCGGAACATGGGCACGCTGAGGAACTTGAATATCAGCGTCTCGATCTGCTGCGTTTCGAAGATGTAGCCCAACGGAATCCAGTTGAGGAATCGGAGCAGAGTCTCCAGTGTGACGTGGATCAGGGCGGCGTTCATCGAGTTCTCCAGCACAAAGGAGCAGAGCGTGAAGATCTGCGAGAACTCCGAGCACATGGTGTCCTTCAGATGTTTGGCCTTGGTCTGCGTGATCTGGCCCTGGGAGAAGTCGAACACCTCCTCGCTGAGGTTCTTCAGGATGACCATGTTGTTCATGCACAGGCTCTCGTTCGTCTTGGACGCACCGACAATGTCACTGATGAACGTCTCCCAGTTGCGCGGCCATTCGCGCTTCAGGATGTGCACCAATATCATGTTCAGCTTGTTCAGATACACCTTGTTCTGCTCCATGACATTGGGATCCGACGAGGTCTTGATGATCAGACTGACCACATACTTCTTGATGCCCTCGCATTGGTTGCGCGGCAGGACCTTCCAGCGTGTCTTGATCACCTCCTCGAGGATCTGCAGAGCATAGAACTTTGTCCGCTGGTTCTGTGAGTACTCCAAAATGCTGTCCACTCGCGTCCACGCCTCTGGATGTTCTTTCAGCGTGGTCAGTATGCTCTGGGCGAGACGCAGCTGCTCACCCTGCGCTGTGTACACCGTCTCGACGATCTTGTCCAGCAGATTGATGTCCAGCTTCTGCGTGAAGTCGAGCATCTTGCTCGCTTCATCCGATGTCAGCACAGTCGCCATGTGGTAGAAGAAGCGGCGTTCGCGTCTGCGTCGCTCGGCAGTTGTTTCCGCGTTAATTTTGATAGCTTCTTGGCTTCCTCCGCCGCCGGATGAGCTGGAAATTCACGTATTCTCTTCGGATTTCTTATATTTTCGTCTTGTTGTTTTTTCTTCTCCCCTTTTCTTCCTCTTCTTCTTCTTTTGTTGTTGTTGTAGTGACGGAGGTGTGCGGCGGCTTGTGCTTCTTCTTCTTCTCTTCTGCTGCTGCTTGTGTGATGACGGTGAGGAGCGGCGACTCTCGATCTGGATCGGATCGGGATCTGGATCTGGTGCCGGGACTGGACCTGGAGCTGCGAAATAGATCGTTGCATCGGTTATAACATATTGCGTACTTCTTCGCCTTGCAGGCAGGCAACCATATTTATTTTTTGTTTTTCGTTTCATTTCATTTTTTGGAACACACTTACAAATACAAGCGCACGCTTACTGCCTGCGCGCGCTTACACTTTTTCGCACACGCACACATACAGTCAAGCGCTCGGCACACCACACACACACAAACAGGCACTGGCGAACGCATCGCCGCCGCAAATGCGACGACTTACTGCGGAGGCATTTTGCAGTTTTTCGGGCTTTCCACACACGCCAGCGAGAACGCGGTGCGTAATTAGCAATCACAACTATGCAATTCACTTATCCAGCTTACCTTTTTCCGATTCCAGTAAAGAGCAGCGTGTGAAAACGACGACGACGGACAATGCGAAATGCAATTTGTGTAAATGTGGCCGTACTGCGGTGTCGTTGGATTGGTGAAAACATAGGCTGCAGCCCTGGGACGCAGATCTGCACGCAAATATATCGATAGCTGCGTGGTGCTATCGGTAAGTTAATCTATATGGTCAACTTTGTTATTTTCTTCAAAGGCGCTAGCCAGTAAAATAAATTTTAAAATAAAATAAAATAAAATAAAATACATATAATAACAGGTTATGGTTTTTGCCTCGAGATAAATCGCTGACGATAGGCAAAAATAAAAATAACCCTTTTAATTGAAACTTATAATTTATAAATATTTAAACATGAATTCTGGAGCTTCTCAACTTGCAATTCCAGATACCAGAAATTTTTAAATTTGTATTTTTAGTAAAACGTAACTTTAGTATATTTTATACGCCGATCGGTAGCGGTTGATTTCGTGTGAGTTATTGTTTTGCGATAATCTAATCTAATCGATTTATTCGATACCAAGCTCATACGTTGCAAGTTCGGAAAAGAAGAAGAAATGTCTATTTATTTGTTATGTTTGACAACAAATGGCGGTTTGCCGGTGTTTACACGCAAAAAGGGAGAGTGCGAAAATGTAAGAGCTTTAGTTTGTGCTTTAATCCGCCCAGTGATCAACATTTCTGCACTTTTAGCTGCCCTTCTCCACAGTGGCCTCTTTGAACGGCTTTCACATGTTCTTCAAATCGCTGGGCATTCAACTGGAGGCCACGACGACCAGCAAACAGCAGCCCAGTCAGAACCTGGCTCCCGCAGATGCGGAGGAGTGGACGTACATCTGGCGGGACAGCGACGCCATAACCCTGATCGTCTGCGGTTGCGGCGTGGGATCGGAGCAGCTGCTCCAGACGCTGGCAGATCTGGTCTTCGGGGCCATTGGCATGTTTATCACCCGTGCCGCGGAAATGGCGCATGCCACGCTGCTAGAGCGGCTAAAGAAGGACGCCAAGAAGTATGTGCCCATTGTGGACGCCATTCTGGAGGCGGCATGCGCGGGCACACAGCTCCTGGGCTACACGGACTGTCTGCTGGCGGCGGAGAACGCCCAATTGCTGCAGTGCCTTAACGAATTCAGTGGCCACTGCGGATCGCTCTTCTGCTGCCTGGTGGTGGGTCACCGCATCGCCGTGGCCACTGAGGGCTGGTGGGATCTGGCCACTCGCGACCGGGAACTGCTGTTATTCCTTCTAAACTCATCGAGCACGCTGCAACACGATGTGCCCGTCTATCTGCCCGTGAAGAGTCCCCACATAGCCTATCGATTCGTCAGCATTCCTGTGGCCTCCAACAGTGCTTTGTGTGTGCTGTGCGGCGCTGAGAATGCCTCGTTCCGAGAGCTGCATGCCCATGCCATGAGTGCCTATCGGAATGAGAGCAACCTCCTGGCGGCCGCCGAGCGCTGTGTGCCGCGCAGCCTGCCAGAGCACCTGGACATCGATGGCAATGTGTTGGCCATCATTCTGATCAACAGACACTCGCGGAAAAGCCTGTTTACCAGGAATCTCAACCAGTCGGCCAGTGTCAAGCGCATCATTGTGGGCGACCTGCAGCGCCTGGACATACTTAAAAAGTTCTTTGATCAGACCATGGATGCAGTGCATCAGTTTGAAGCGGAGTCTTCGACCAACAAAGCACTTTTGGTGGACCAATATAGCTGCTCGGACTATCACAAGTGCTATGCCCACACGGATGAGCTAGGAAATGTCCTGTTTCTGCTGTTCGTGGCAGCTGTGCCCTCGCACGCTATGAGGTCTGTTAGAATTAATTGAGTTTAGGGAATCTCAGCTGAAAACGACTTATATTTACAGATTTCTGGCTCAACGTATCCATGATAACATACTCCAGGAAAAGTCTGTATGCTGGTAAACCGTCCTTCCTTCCTGAATTCTATAAGACTGATATTTTTCTACCAATTTTAATTGGCATGAGGTAATTTTTTACGCTGTAAGCTAGTAAGCTAGTATTAGCTACATACATATGTATGTTTATTCATATTACTGAAACAAATTATACTGCAATGGCATTGATGACCGTCCCTATAAACAAATACTATTTATTTAAATTCTTTTCCATTATTAAATTGAATTTTAGCCTAGAAAATGAAATGTCCAACTGTGTAATGTTGGTTCTTTTGAATAATAAGTTATATTATTAGCCCAGCGCACAATTAAATAAATGAATGACAATAAATGTTTTATTAATAATAACATAAAACATTAAACAATATTTCTCAATAAATCCTTATTCTTTTCATATAAGGAAAAGAACCGAAAACCGTCTGGTGATTAGTGTTATATTTATCTAAATAATTACGCTTTTCCAAGTTTTGTTCGGACTCAAACTTATTAAATGATAAGCGGTTAACAAACTCCGACTTTCGGTTTGCACAAAATGTTTACCGCTTTTAAAAAAATCTTATCAGGCATTGCTACTTAACGATACAGATTCATTGAAGACAAAGGTTTATTTTCCATTAGATCGCTTATGAATGGCATATTTATAAAGTGTATTTATGGGCTTTCTTCGTAAGTAGATTTCGACCTGTTGCACGTCGTTTGCGTTTGCCGACGATGGTGCCCAGTCCAGAAACAGTGCCCAACTGGAGGAGCAGCGGATTGCTGACTAGTGCGGCGGCGATTCCCAGAACTGCAGCACTGGCCAGCGGGATTAGAAAGCTCTTGGCCAGCAGGGCTTTGGATGAAACATCACCGTGACCGGGACCCTTGTGCGCGGCTACCTCGTGGGGATGGGGATCCAGTGGGTACGGATACACGTACTCCGGCGGGGAGTAGTGGCCGTGGCCAACACCGTGACCCGGACGCGATCCATACACGTCGAACGGAATACCCGCCTCGACACTGGAGCTTCCGAAATAGCCGCCACTTGCTGCTCCACCTCCTCCTGCTCCACCCAATCCAACGCTGCTGTGGTGGTACTCGTAAGGATACGGATGGGAATTACTTTCAAAACTTCCCACGGTCGGTGCATGTGATACTCCTCCTGCGGCTCCATAAGGACCTGTATTTGGGTAAAATATCAACTTTTGTGTAGTTTCGAAAATAATGTATTTTGAAATTAAAGAATCGAATGGATTTTGGATAGAAATGTAACTGAATTATGTTGCTCTTTTCATACTGAAGATCTTAAAAGTTATGCATAATTTTGAGTACTGTACTAACAATGTATGAATAGTTATATCATACCATAGTAAAGTATAGTAAAGATTATACTCCAGTGTTCTGTTCATATAAGACTTGTTTATCGTTAAAAACTCACCCACACTGATCCTGTCCTGCAGATTTGACCCTCCAGCTCGCCACTTATTATAGGTTTCACTTAGACTTTCGCCCACACTTCCCAGCGAGGGACGAGTGCTGGAGCCACTCAAAGTATGTGATCCCGAGCCTGCTTCGGAGCCTGGACCCCGGTAGAATTCAGGCGGTGGCTCGAAGCCCTTGGAATGAGTGTTGGAAACACTTAAAGTATTCGATCCCGAACCGGATCCTGGACCTCGGTAGAATTCAGGAGGTGGTTCGTAACTCTTGGCGGTAGCCGAACCCGCCTGGTCTTGTTGACTTCCTCCCCGATCGCTGACCACTTTATCGCTGGCATTCTGGGCCACGGCTAGACTTGTCCAGAAGATAAGGCCAAATGCGATCCGAAGCTTCCGTTTGCAGGCGAACATGATGACTAAGCTCGCCGGCGCCATGTCATCGACTTTATAAAATAGTCTGAGGGATTTTGCAGGCGACTGGCGACAAATTGTGCCATCCAATTTGCGACTAAAAGTGTCCGCTTCGCTGCGCCCATTCAGTTGCGCCAGTCTCGCCGGGAATTTCACTTTCCTTGGCAGGTTTCGTCTAAGCGAGCACCTCTTTGGGATTCGGCAATGCTAGACTCAACTTAACATTAATTTCACTGAAAATAAACCAGCATGAAGCCTACGTTAAAACTATAATAATATAATATAAGTTCTTAAATGTAATCTAGTTCCTTAAAAAACCAATAAAAAATAAAACAAATTTTTTTAAAATTTAAAATTGCCATCATATACTATCATTTTGAAAAACTATTCAAAGTAAATATTTTTGTCTTTTAATTTGAAAACTACTTAGACCTTTAATCTTGAATAAAATATGGATTTATTAACTAAGAATTTCTGAAAAGACTATATCTTGACATTAACCAATTATTATAATTATAATAATATTTTAAATGTAACATACTTTTAAGGAACTTGTTTTAAGTGTACGTCATGTTAGTAATAGTTAAGTGAAGAGTTCGCGATGACAGTGGAAAACCCGAGAGAAACTTCTCATACCCCCCACGGCACTTATTCGAAATGATGAAAGATCGCAACGCAGCTAAGAATCGTTAAGAAATTATCACCGTTCCCGTTGGCTGCAACCGTCAAAACGGCAGCAACATTACGCGAAAAACATGACCAATTCATTAGATGTATGTCCAATTCGAAAGAGAGATGCAAAACGATCTAAAATGGCACGGCCTGATGTCTTGCGTTTCCGGCAGACGAAAAACGATTGCAAAAATAAATGTCTTTAAAAACGTGTCTCCTTATCTGCTTATTGGAATTGCGCTGATATTTCGCGGAATTTTGCAATCTCCACAAAAACAGTTAAATTAAATATGAAACATTGTGCACTTATCACGACATGTCACAAAATCTAAGATAATCATGCTTACGTCGCTTCCAATACTTATTCCTCACACTTACACTGCATCAAAATTATCTTAAGCCCAATATTATTGAATCTAATCGGACAGTGTGTCGCTCTACGACCTTGTTGTTAATACTGCAGAACGAGTAGAACTTATAGATATGAATGTAATTGACTAATAGTGCAAGTACTTGCACAAGGGTATTACCGGCACTAAGCTCAAGAATTCGCGTAACATCGGTGTCCATTGATCTGTGCATATGGTATCATTTGGTATCAATAACAATCCTGATTATATTATAACTTCAAAAGGATTGGAATTTTAAGATCAGTCTAGTACAAATATAGTAAACATATTCTCTTTGTTGACACCTATTATAGTTTTTATTTGGTTGTAGCAATACTTGGTTAATATAAAAACAGGCTTGAATCGAAGACTTTAAATTTAGCTAAACAAAAAAGGGTCGGCATTTGGTTAAAGGTTTAAGGGATTACAATGTAGATTCACTTGGATGATTTGAATGTTTTTCGACAGGAAGTTTTTGTTTCTGGGACTTTGAAGGAGAAGTTTTTTTATTTTTAACTGGAGGGGGGATTGATTCCGTGGGTAACCTTCTCCTAATACAGGGACACCGGTAGCCGTTGGCTGCAATTAGAGTAGAGTCTTGCTTGCTTGTCCAAGATTTTCGGGTAGAGAATCTTGGAGGGGATTGTCTTGCGAGAAGGCCGTGGCTTATTTGGAGTATCTTGCTGTTTTCAATAGAAATCCCCTCATTTGGCAAGGTACAGGAAAGGAGTCGAGAACTCTGTGGCGATATTATATTCGAACTGTTTTTAGATCCGCGTGCCAATTCCGGTGATGGTGCAGGTGTTTTAGGATATTCGACGGGAAAATCATCATCGTATGGTGGTAAGGGCAGTTCAACTATCACATCTGTTGGCATATCATCAACACTCGAATCGGGTAGGATCACAGTTGACAACCGGACCGTTTGCGAAAAGCTAGTTTTTCGCTTGTTATCAAATGATAGATCATCCGAGATCCTTGGCGCCTCTGATATTGGATCGGATTTCACATGATCCAGGCTGCTCAACTGGGATATTATTTTTAGAATGATATTTATTGGATCTTTTGAGTCAGTATCACAACCGCTTAAGGGTTCTGCTGGTTGGGATTTTTGGACTGCTTCTACGGCTGCTGAAACCATTGCACGACCCAAGGTCTCGCATATCATCTTTAGATCGCCTAGATCCGGTTGCTCATTGGGGTTGGTATTGGTGCCTTGATCCCTTCGATTAGGGGATTCTTTCATATGATCCTCCTTCTCTGGAGCCAATGACCTACCACAGCAAGGACACTTCGTTTCCATTCGATCACCTCGCTGACTATTGAAACAACTGCTAGTAGCTGTAGGCGTTGGAATATAGATGGGTAACATCCTGTCCTCTGGCCGGAGAACGTAGCACACTGGTGGTGGTTGGTTAATGCGACTGGAGGAATACCTATGACCTGAGTAGCTAAACTGGTTTTGGGAAGGTTTCCGCTTGGGAGGAGCGCACATCTCTGGCCGAATTCTGAAATGCATTCGAGGAAGACCCTCCGCTGGAGATCTCATGTTTGGGGGAATGGCCACCGGTCGACGTGGTGGCTCCCTGGTCATTCTGGGCCCAGGAAACAGAGGAATCGCTTGCACCGAGATGGGCATGGCCTGCATCTGGCCACTGGAGCTCGGCTGCTGGGACACCAGCTGGATCATAATGGTGTCCGGCTTACCAGAGACCCTTGACTCCATCTCTTTGGACTAATCACCAGGAATTTGGAAGCATTACTTCAGTAGGAAATGATATATGACAAATGTAAAACACCTACTGATATAAGATAAGTTAGTCTAGTCGAATCTTATAAAGATATATATATTTATAATCCTCTCGTTATAAATGCCGTAAACCTTTTGACTCAGCTAAGTTTTTCAGTCGATGGGAAATGGGGTTCCCCCTATAGAACTAAGCTAATATATTGATGATATATAAATCCAAACCCAACCGAAGATTATAAACCAAACGGATGGTTTAGGATAGAACCTAATAGTAGGATTTTCTGCAGACTGCATGACCTCTCCAAGAACCCAATCTTATCGAGGTATTGCGTCAACTGAACTTAGGGGCGCGAGCAATATGTTGAGATAAGGTCGGTGATACAAGGTGCGATTATTTTCAAAACGATTTTGTGTCGCTGCCAAAATAGAATTTTGCACAGGCTTCCCGGCCAGGAAGATAACTGTTATTATTGGAAGGCAGTATCAGTTGAGGTCTGGGGTATATAAACTTGCGAATTTGAGTAGTCAAAGCACATTCACGGAAGCAGTCACAGCCCAACGCAACCATGAAAGGAGGTAAGTTAGCTGCGAAGGTACCGGCGAAGGGATCTCATTCTAAAGGACAACTCTACTCCGATCCGTAGCTCTCGTTTGCATTTGCCTTGCCCTCTTCATGGCGCTCTACGGCGCCGAATACGTCTGCAATCGCGATAGCAACAACGAGCCTGACTGCACCAACGCCAGCAACCTGTTAGTCCCTATCCGAAACTTCTATGATCCAACTCGGTACTGGAATTGCACATCCGTCTCCAATAACGCAGCTTCGGTTGGTATATGCAATGGTACGGGATTTGACCCGACATTGATGAAATGCGTCAATTGGACCGAATGGAAATGGACTCCGTACTGCCCTTAATTTGATGACATGTCGTTAATAAAATAAAATTGCATGGCAAATTAAATAATCACTTGTATTTCTGGTATTAACTCAAATATAATGAGTTTGAGCTTAATTAGCACCAAAATATTCCACTTCCCTAGATTAAAGAATTAAGAATATTTTGGTTACAGTTTTCAAAATACTTATTTCTAAGTAATTACATTTTAAAATGGCGAAGTTATGGAATTTATGCACAGTAATGGTAGCCAGAGGTTACTATATACGTACATATAAAAGGGAATTCTACGTCGATATGATTTCGAAATCAATTCTTACATTTTTAACTAAGCATCTTTATTATAAAATGCATTCTTTCGATACTTAGTACGCACTGCGTATTTTAAAAGCATAGAATATCCTTTAAAAGAGGGGAATACTATTTCTTTTGCTTACCCTTGCGGAGGATATAACGATTTTAGTCAGAAGTTTGCAACGCAGTGAAGGAAACTTTTCCTATCCCATAAAGTGTTCTTGATCAGCTTCACTAGACGAGTCGATCTAGCCATGTCCTATAGCATTTTTAAAAATCGATAAGCTCTGTACACACAATGATCCCACGGAAACGTCCTGCAAGGGTATAGAAACTTCGTCTTGCCGAAGGTAGCTACCTTTCTGGTTTATGCTTAAAAATACCTCACTCAATAAAAAAATACCTTTTATCTGTTAAGATATTCCACTAAGTTCAAGTTTTTTTTTATTCATTTATCAAGGAATATATTTTAAAGAAAAAAATATATATATTATTTAGTCAACTTGCACCGGATTTAAAATTGGTAAAATGTCCCAAACCATCTTATAAAAATCCGAATCCATTTAAGCAATAAATTTTGATGCAGTAAGCTTGGATTTATACTTTGCATTTTTTCGGTGCCTCAATGGATTGTTATGGGATTGATTTTCTCTTTTAGGGTTCTACTTTCGTTTAGGTTTATTATCTCCTTGAGATAATTAATGTGCTCATTTCTTGGGATGTGTGAAAGACCTAGTGCAATCCCCAATTCGAAAACTAAAGAAAATATATAAATATTTTTTAAATTTATATAGGGGAGTGCAGACTATGCCGTATAGTGACAAGCAATTCATTTTTCATATGTCACTTTTCCAAAAATTAATTTTTTTCCTGTGAAAGTTCGATGATAAAATTCCAGCGGAGTTAAATACGGCAGCTCTTGGCGTAAACCAATATTTGTTTCCATTCTTCAAAGTTTTCATGTAAGGTGACAAACTGATGAACACTCACTTAAACCCTGTGCAGATATGAAAATTATTTAATTTTTCTTCATGAAAAGTTGAAAATGTACAGTAATGAAATACAAATACCTTTTAGTCAAAATTATCTCACGAACAAATTACTCGAACTCTTAGTATTATTATTGTAAATACATTGTCTGCACTATAAAAAAAAACCAATTATAATTATTTGGAATTTTTGACTTGACGTCACATAAGAGATTTGACGAGTTCGTCACCTCACCTACTCCGCTACATTTTTTTTGTTCTTTTAACCACTGTTATCTTGTACCTTTTTATAAAAGCCCAACGATATGTTTATTGATAAGTACAGTGCATCAAAATAATTATTTCTGGGTTAAGAAATTCTTTTACATTATGCATTATATATATATTTAAACTACTTTTATAAAAAAAATATAACTGCTTTTTTCGGTCTATAAAATTGTCAATTGTTTTTTTATGTGTCCATCTCATGAATGTAACTTTATATAAGTAGAAAAATATATACGTTGCAATTATATTTGTAGAAAAAGTTATCCTGGCTTTTAAAAGGTTTCGGTTCTGCTTATTACCTCATTAAAAGCTGTGACAAATAGAGAATAAGCACCAGAGGCAGTTCATCAGAAAGATTGGGTCTCGCAGGTTGTACACCTTCATTATGTTCCAGTACGCCACTTATTTTCTGTACGTCCTTGTTTCTTGGGATGTGTGGAGAGCCTTTGCTCAAGATCAGAACAATGCGCCCCATCATAGTGCAGTGTACAATCCGCAATCCGGACTTGATCAGATTGGTATACACCAGCAACAATGGTTCTCCTACAACTCCTTGAGACAAGCTCTAACTGATGAAAAAATAAACAAGCTAGAAATGCGATTGCTGGCGCTACTGAAACAGTTGGAATCTCAACTTCAGACATTACGAAACCTACAGGAACTCGAGAAGGAAAGAATAAAAGCCTCCAAGAGGATCATCAAGCCGTTCTTTGAAAAGATTGGCTCCAGGTACTTTTACATTGAGAAGCAAAACAAAGTGAATTGGTATTTGGCATTTGATAAGTGTCGTCGAATGGGCGGGCACCTGTTAAATGTCAAAAATGAGACGAATTTCGACGAAATATTCTCAAAAGTGCCCCCCGGTAATTACTGGATAGATTCTGCCAGCTTGGATAAGAAAGATGGCTACTTCATGTCTACACTAACCGGAAGAAGTGCCCGTTACCTAAAGTGGAAGGGTACAAGGAATACAAGTTTCGTCAACTGCGCTATGATAAAATCGAAAGAAATGTATTCGGTCAATTGTCAGAATGCCAATTTTTTCATATGTCAAGCCGAGCCATGGTATTAAAATCTGACATTATTAATTTAATTTCTAAAAGTTTACGTTTCTCATCAAGAATAAAATAATGTTATGTACAAGTAAGGGTTCCATTGGTTTTTAGTTACTTTAGTTTATATAAATAGTTAAAAATATTCGTCACGATATGCACGTGGTAATTGAATCTCAAAGGCTTTGAGAAGTTTTGTTCCGGTGTATTACCTCCTTAGAATGTGTGACAAAGGTAGTTAAGCCCAGAGGCAGTTTGGATCTCACAGGATGTACTCCCTTAGTATGTTCAAGTACGCAATTTATTTTTTATCCGTCGTCGTTTCTTGGGATCTGTGGAGAATATATGCAGCAGAACAGAACGAACCCCAAAACCAATCCGTACTTGATCAGATTGCTGTTAACCAACAAAGCTGGTTCACATACGACTTGCAAAGTCGAAATAAAACTCAGGAAAAAATTGTATTGTTGGGGAGACGCATAGAAACCCGATTGCTGGCGCTACAAATGGAGATGGAAGCTCAACTTCGATCGCTACGTAACATTGTGGAAACCCAGATTGAACAGAAAAAGAACTCCGAAAAAATCAACAAGGAGGTCTTCCAGAAGAAAGGCACCAGGCACTTTTATATTGAGAAGGAAAACAAACTGAGTTGGTATTCTGCGGCGGACAAGTGTCGCCAACTGGGCGGTCACCTGGCGACCATCCGAAATGAGAGGGAGATAGATAGAGTCTTTTCGGGAGTCCAGCCAGGCTCCTACTGGGTGGACATCTACAGCCTGGGCGGAGATGAAGGACCGTATGTTTCTTCACTATCCGGGAAAGAAGTCAAGTACTTAAAGTGGGGTATTGACCTAACCAAATATAATAGTAATCACTGCGTGAATGTACGTGTGTATGGAAGAGAAATGTACACGGCTAACTGTACCGAAAAATTGTTCTTCGTATGCCAAGCTAAATAATGGAAAAATCCGAACTTACTTGAGAACTATTTTAAACTTCTCAGCCTAACAGAATTTGTATGAAGCTATAATCATGCGACTTTTACAATCGGTTTTTATTATACGCTCCGTAAAAATACAAAAAATTATCAAAATACACATTTATTTAATTGTTTTAAAAGTAAAAAAGCAATTCTTAGCCCCATAACTGGTGTGCACTGAGAATTGTTTCCAAAAGTGTAGACCCCATTGATCATTGGGACTCCCCAAGTGAAACTCGCCAAATTATCACAGTTCCTTAAATTTGTTGTGTTCACTTAAATTTGGTGTAAGTTCATTGAGTTGCCAGGGACATGGTTAAGAAGTCAGGAGCGGACTTGGACCTACCGGTGGCCAGTTGGCATCGAGGACTTTCGATCCCTCAGATGCAGGCTGCTGATGACCTGGGCGGTGCATTGGGATATAATATCGGTGGCATTCGGGACTGTCTGCTGCGGCTCGGAGTGCGTCCTTTGGTCAGAAACCGCCAGCTTCTTAGGATTGTGCAAATGAGTCGCGGCCAGAAACTGGCCTTCCTCTACTTTCTATTCCAGGAACACTACAATACCGGCGGATCATGCGGTAAATACACGGTTAACGGGCAACTCCTTCTATCGGCCGTCGCCTATCTTGATCTACCGGCCACTTTTCGAGCACTGGACAAAGTTCTTCCCTTTAACGAAAATCGTATTAGCAAATCGAATTCTCCACCGGACCCTCAAAAGGTTTGTAGTTGAATCAGCTGTTATGACTTAAGACTTAAATCTATATTCCAGCACAAAAATTAAAAAAATATATTTACTATATGACAGTATTATTTATATTCCTTAATGTTAATATCAAAACAAAACTTTTATTAGAATAATTTAAAAATTTTATTATCATAAAATAGATTAGTACTTTAAAATTATCCGAAAACATCAAAAAGATCTTGATTAATAAGTATGGCTTTTGAAAATTAGGAACAACTTTTTGTTATCTCCAAGTCTTTTCCTCTATTGGATACTAAATAATACCAAAATATTTTCTTTTTCAGAAGCGGTCTCGAAAGTCTTTCTGCCCAACGCCTAATCCTTCGATATTTGAGTCTGTCACCCCCAAAGATATAGAAGATAAGATGCCTTTGGATCTGCCGGCTACATTTCGAGAACTGGACAGAGTTCTTTCCTCACAGCTGTCACAGCAAAAACGATCGCTCAATTCCGGAAAAAAAGTCAAGCCCTACTTTCAGAAGCAACCACGTCCCAAGTCCTTCCGCCGGTCCACCCATTATTCGTCGAATTCTCCACTTTATGAGGTGCAGATTCCCAACGAGGTGGGTGATCCGAGGGAGGATGACGATCGGTGGTTTGCCAATTTCCAGTTCCATCCGGTCCAGCGTACAGTGAAGGCGGTTATCAATCACGAGCTCTGTCATCTATTCGATCAAATAGACGAGGCGCCCAGCGATCCTGCTCAGGATCCAAGGGATCTATGTGAATTCCACGAGGAAACTAGATCCCAGGAGCGACAGGCGTTCCTGCTCAAGCAGCGAATACGTTACCTGGAGATGATTGACTTGGAAGGCACTGAGAAGCGGGTGAGTCCTTTGTTAAAAAAATATTTTTAATTCTGTAACCATAAGAAGGGTAGTTTCTTCACTTTAAATTCCAAGAAGAAACAATAAAGACATTAGTCTGTCAAAATTTAAAACAAAATTAGGTTTATTAAAAAATACTTCCATATAGATATGCTTTAAGTTAAATAAAAAGACATAAATGTTTAGATTTTTGCAATATCTAAAGAGGTGACTCTTTTAAAAAACATACAAAACTACAGCCCAAGTAATAATTAAGTTCCTTTGTTTGGGCGCCAATATTATGATTAGCAATCTTAATATTTCCTTTTTCCCCTTACAAAGCTCACTAGGGAGCGGATTATCAATCACCTAATGCGTGACGTGGATGAGTACCTTAAGAAGTTTGGTGACAAGGGCTGGAGTCCAGGGGTGCCTGCTTTTCGGCAAAGCGACTGTGCCGCCTGCAAGGAGCTGGTGCACGTGAGCTTGGAAACTCCTCCCCAGGTGCTCCTCCTGGAGGGTGAATGGGGACGTCTATACGACAGGAGTGGTCCCAAGATGCGGCTGTGTGCCGGTGAAGATGGAAACGAAAAGCTCCACAAGAACAAGATTTTAAAGATGAACCCCGAATATTTCACGGCCCCCGGATTCCACAGAGCCTACGCCTTTAACTATCCTCGAGTATTCGAAGAAGGCAGTAAGCAATCTCTAACTACCAAAGATGCCATTGGAAATTCCTTGGTAAAATCAATCGCTGCTGATGATGATGATGTGGCGCGGGAAAAAAAGGTACCCAGGACAGTTAGGAGCAGTCACATCAATGAAGCGGTCTCCCGATGTGTGCGGAAAATCTTCGAGAAGAGTCTGCTGACAGCACCGTGTGTGATGACCGTGAAGAATTCCAAGGAACGCCTCGTCTACGATCGCAAGCGGATAGATCCAGATGACGAAAAGTTCATGGATAAGATGCTGGGCGATGCCTTTAAAATTTTGCGCCGCGATTCCAGTCTTGTGCTGGCCAGCTTTCCCGATGGTCACCAAATTCCGGAGCTGCGAGAGTGGATTAGGAGGAGATTTGGCAAACGATATGGGCCACAAACCGATGTGGAGGCTAATAGGCTCAGGGACAAGGTGCAGAATTTGTCGGAGATGGAAAAGGAACTGATTCCGCTGATGGCTAACATAGATCCCCGGCTGGTTCGACAAAATCCCGTCCCCTTTGCCCTGTACGATGAATTCATGGGGGCGGCCAACAAGCTCAAGAAATCCTTCCGGGAGGAAGTCTTCCAGATAATCCTCAAGCAAACCAGACTCTGCTGGCAGGCGCAGCACAATCTGCGAGCCTACAACAGTTCCGGACTCCGACGCACTTTCTTCACATATCTGCCCAGCAGTTCCGCCAATAGAGAACCCACCTTCAGTATCTATTTGGCATACAAAAATGCCTAATCAGAAAGTACTTAGTACTAAAGCAGGCAGGTCATCTTGATCCTAAGTGTGATCTTATAATCTTTTTCTAAGGCCAACATAATCATTTTAATCTCAGCAGATAGAATGAATATCATTGATCTTAGATGGTATCATTAAATAGGATCAGGTTGATACTGAATAATGTATATACATTTTTACCGGTTAACCATAGATCTCAGTCAAAATTTAAGATTTTATTCATTGATAATTTTAAACCCTTTGACAAGAGAGCTTTTATATACAAGTAGTGCTCCCAAATATATATATATTATGTATACATGTGTCTAATATCTTTTTTTTTCTATGACAATATTTATTCAGATGTGTACAGCAAGGTGTATTTAGAAACTAATTGTTGCTCATTATGAATTTCCAGTTTAAAACTGAACCGAATAAATAAATATATATTGTCTTTATGGGTAACGCTTTTATCTAAGTTGCTATTATTAATTGCATTTCGTCAAAATACGCTACCATTTATATAATAAATATAATAATGTATATAAGATCATGTAAGGTACTTTTATAAATTGCATTTCGTCAAAATACGCCACCCTTTATATAATAAATATAATAATGTATATAAGATCATGTAAGGAAAAACATGCACCATCAAAAAAATTGTGGACGGCTGTGTCTTGTGCCTAGCCGCCCGTTTATGTGTTCCATCCTTGTCTAGGGGAGTGCTAACTTGCTCTCCTTCCAAACAACACGACGACCTGAGCTGTTCGCCGCTATTTATACGCACGCTGTGCTGAAAAAGCACTTGGGAATTTTAAGGGCGAACGTTGTGAGAAAAAAGAAAATTTTGGCTTTATGGTATTATTATGGTATTTTTAACATATTTTTTAAGCCTTCACTTATGTTATACATATTTTAAACATTACATACGTATCTTGTTCGGTTAGCATTGACACTGAAATTAATGCGTTGATTCATTTCCCGTTTTGGTTAGGGGACCTGCAACGTGACATTGACGACAACTCCAAATTGCCACAAGGGCCATCGGTGACCCAGTCATTAACCATATGACCACGTTTAACCACCGAAAATTTTATAAACCCAACCACGTAGTTCCCCAAAAAACATATAAAAAGACAGTTGGCGAACAACAAGTTATCAATCATAAACGAATCCATCAACAGTTCGGTTATCTTTATTATCCAAATCAAAATGTGCAGCTACGTGAAGTCTTCCTGTTCCCTGGTGGTTCTGATCCTGGCACTGGGATCCATTTCAGCTCAACCGGCCAGGTTAGCCAAGCAGCTACAGAAACAGCAGGCAGCTCCCTACCCATCCGCCGAGGAACTGAAGCCCGAGGTTCCGTTCGAAGAAGGAGTGCCCGATCAGACCTATGGACCTCCGGATCTCACCTACGGACCCCCGCCCACCGATGCAGTGGAGCAGCTGCCCAGCGCTGAGGAGCCACAGGACTTCACACCCGATCCGGATGCAGAGGAGGTTCAGCCCATTGAACAGGCGCCCGCTCGTCTGACCAAGCAGACCAGGAGACGTCCACAATCACAGGGATTAATTCTGCTTTCCTCGAGTCCATTCCAAGTTATTAATCCCAATGGAATCCCCGCTCCAGTGGCTATTCAAGCCCTGTGGTAGAAACCCGAAAGAAAATACTTGATACTGATTTTTATAAACATTATATTAATTATTGTCTTTTGTTATCCGTTGAACCATTAAAGAACATTTGTTGTTGATACACCGAACTGATGTATTTACAATATTGTATCGGAGTCGATATTATGGGACCCAATACGGCATGTGGGAGTACCTATTTCATATACATATATAATTACAAATATAAGAACGATAAAAGTATGCAGATAACTTTAGCTAATTTCGGTTTTTGGGAAATTCTCAGCAGTTGCTTTGGAATGATCTGCCCCGACCTAGGCTACATAGTAAAAGCTAAATAATAATTTATTTAAGAATACTACGTAAAATCACTTTTGGCATTGTGCGGTCCTCGAGTTAACACAGAAGTATTCTCCAACTGACAAACTGAACAAATATATATATCGTAAAACTTTCTACTTAAAATGCTAGTTATTGTCTGGTACGATTGCAGCTAACTGATAACAACAAAAAATGCAACTAATTCGCAATAATAATAAGTTAAACAAACTAGAGCACCGCCACGGGAGATTGGACCGATACCAGTATCGAATAGGTAAATAACTAATGGTAAACATATTCGTAGTTCGAGAGAAACTACATAAAGCCTTCGTCATAAATTCGCACACGTTTGGAGGCAGAATAGCCAGGTTCTCATTTTGCCTTGCTCCTCGTTTTTCAATTCAGTGGGTCCTGTCGTTTACAATTTGAGCTAAGCTGGCCCAGGTACCGAAGACAAAGCCACAGAGTCCGAAGATCAGGATGAGAAAGTCCTTCCACAGCATCCAATTAAAGCGGCCATAGCCAACGTTATAAAAAGTGATTACTTCAATGATTGGCGGGGCGATGAGGGCCAATGCTGAGCTGCTCACGGCTCCCACGAGTGAGATAATGGAGCCAAGATTGGGAATACAGGTGGCCAGTAAAACTGTGAAGAAAATGAGGGTGTTCATAAGAAAATTTCGTATAGTTCCTGTGAAACTTACAGGTAAAAGTGACTAGAACAACTCGCAAGACTGTGGCCGAAAGATCCTTGGCATGCGTGGTGTCGAAATGACTCCTTACAAAAGGTTCCACAATGTTTACGGGCACATAAAACTGAAGCGTATAAGAAAGGAAGATGGCCACCGCCATGGAGATCCGCACCAACTGAGAGAGTCTAAAAAGGTGGAGAAGAGGGTATAAGTTTGGATGAATATTGTATACTTGTTGTCGGTAAAAATCTAAAACGGCTTTAATTTTATAAGTCGTCTACTTGTTGATAAAGAAACCTTAAAAATGTATTACCAACTTAAAATTGTTCATAAGAAACTGAACTGAAGTTATAATATTCGGAGTGGTAACAAGTTATTTGTTTATATTTTTATAAAAAAAAACCCCAAAGTATTATATTCAGAGAGATACAAAATCTGGTAATACATAGCTAAAATAAACGTGCATGGATATAGGTATATCCAAGCAGCTTACATTGGAAAAGAAAAAGAAATCCCCTGCCTCATAAACTCAAATGGATTAGGAATGGAATGTTTTTGAACTCACGTATCGCCCTGCGGCAGATTTAGGGTAATGCTGCCCTCCACATGCTCGCCATACTTCAGGTAGCCGAAGAACCCAACCGCTGTGTACAGGCAGGCCACGATTACCATGCCCGTATTGAGGACACCCGTAGTTCCGCCGAAGTCCTCCGGGGTGCGCATATTATTCTCTAGGGGCAGGACAACGCCAATACCCTCAAACGCATAGATGGCGGTGCCGAAGTACAGGGGCAACGTGGCCCAGGTGGCCACCGGTTTGACCGTGTGTACATCAGGCAGATCCACCAGCATGTAGGAGAAGGTAATGGCCAGACCCGCCACAGTGAGCAGAGCGGCAACCAGAGAAACTGGAGTCAAATACTTGAGGTTCCGCACCAGATTCAAGAGTATCATGGGACCCAACATTATGAGCAGATAAATCTGCACAGGCATCTTGTAGTAGTGATCCATTACGTCCTTGATGTTCAGCGCCACAAACAGGAAGTAGACGCAGCAGAAACCGATTTGGGTGATGAACAAGAACGTGGTAACGATCCGTCTGGCCAAAGTGGAATATCTCCTTAGTCCCAGGGGTCCGGACTCAAAGCTGCAGTAGGCCACCTCCGAAAAATCCAACGACGGCTGCTGGAATCGCTGGCACAGCTCGTGGGAGCAGCTGACCAGCATGTGCATGCAGTGGGTGCAGATGATACCCATGATCATGGTGCCAAAGAGTCCCACATATAGTCCAGCGTTCTTGAAGGCATCCGGCATGGCCAGAATGCCCGTGCCAATGTTGCCCTTCAGCAGATGCACCAGGGTGTCAAAGTTGGATGTCGGGTGCTCTAGGGTGCGATGGTGGGTGGGGTTGTAGCTGGACTTGTCCGTCGGTCCGCGCTCATCGTCTCCCGATCCCGAGGCTGCTGCGTGCACTCACGGATAAAAATCAAAAGAATTATAAGTTTGATTTCGCAAGAATACTTTTAAAGAAAATATTGTTTACTCAAGTAATTAAATATTTTAAATTCCTCCCATGGCTTATAAAAAATAATCATCATATAGAAGCATTCGATAATGCAAATCATCCTAATTAAAATAGATTTTAAAGTAATCAAACAAATATATAGACATTTCTGTCTTCTATAATTATAGAGAATTTATTAATTCGGAAAATCAATGATTAATATAACATGAACCGAGAAATGAATAATCGGAATATATCTATATATTACCGCTATATCTTGCGGTTTTGTGAAACGTATCATAATTTAGGCCACAAAGAAAAACATTTCATTTTATAATCATGACTTCATCGGTTAATTCTTTATAAGGCCATTTTGCACACATCATAAAAGTTTAAGACCAATAATTTACTTTAAGATGAATTCATTTGTATTGTAGACAATTTCATGGAAATTATTTTTAAACTTTAAATGAAAATGGTGTTATCTTACACATCTAATACATAAATATCATTTATCATAATATAACATTTTGGAAAATGTTTTTATCTTTTCTACGATTTTTAAATGGATAGGTAGTTTTAATCACTCAAAAATGTATCTTTATAATTATTTTCATAAACCCAAAGTATAAAAGTAAAATTCAATTTATACTTCAATTAATAAAAGTAGAGTAATATATATCTAATATTTTGGGAGTGTTACTTTTGAAACCTGACTCACCTGCTAGGCTGTCCTCGCTGTGCACGTTGACCAGCGTGTTGTCCGGCGGAGAGCTGCGCACGGGTCGAGCCGACGATCCTCTGCTGCCCTCGTAGTCGGAGGCATCGCTCTGCAGGAGCAGCGGCTGGCGTTCGGACATCTTTTTCTTGCGCGGCGCACCCTCGGGAAACTGGAAAACGCAGTGGTTAATTAATTCAAAGCGATGCACTATATGAAGCGGCCTCTCCGGCTGCACAAAACACACTGAATATGCTGCTTGAGATGCCCGCTTTTCGCCTCGGAAATTTTCCGCTGACTCAGTTTTCCACGCGTATAACAATAGGAGGTGCAGATAGTGCAGGCGGATAGTGGACAGTAAACGCGTGCCGGGCGGGCGGAGTGGAAAATTTCGACCATGCTGATAGTCGAACGGACTCAGCCTTGGACTTGACTCAAAGTACGATTAATTTGATCATTACATTACTTTGCATATGGGTCTGATTACGCTCGCTTCGGAAGTCGATATCAAATTGGCGAGCCAAGTCCCCTTCGCTAGGGTATAGCTTTAAAACCGAAAACACCGACAAGTCGCGAAAAACAAGCTATACGAGGCGATAAGACCCGCACATCGCCTGCAAAGCCAGTGATCATACCATAATCACCATTATATAATGTGTATCCAGACGGTGAATCAAATATCCACCCATTTTTTTTCTGATTATTGACACATTGGCTCAGTAGACGGTGTTACTCAAATTGCAACTATGCATTTCTTTGATATACAATACTTCCGATGGTATGAAGGGACTTTAAAACTGGTTAACGATCTTCAAAGTTTAAAAACGTTATATATTAAAAACCAGTTTAAACAAATAAATGTAAAATATAGATATTACAGGTAAAATTAAATTAGTTTACGAATTTATTTAACATAATCATAGTAAAGGAAATATAGTAAATACAATATTGAATAAATTGGTATATGTGTCTCGAAGATTGTCGAAACTTTAAATAAACTTTAAGTTTAGCAATGTTTTACAGTATACGTATACTTTTTGCTAACCTACATATGTATATACTATACAGCCAAAGAATGCGAACTATTTTCTTAGCGTGGGATTAAAAGGGATTATATCTAGTCTACCTAGATCCCGGCAAACGCAGACTTAAGTCAACAAATCTTTATTTGAGTGCAATAAAGAAATCAAGCAAAGCATTAGAATTCTACCTTATTTTCTTTTTATCTTGCATCACCACAGACTTGCACAACAAAGTGCGACATTGCGAATATACATAACTATATCTTGTTTTCACTTACAGAGAGTATCGCAAATTAGATGGTGAATCTCAACTTGAGATTGTAAGATTCGTTTGAACTCGGCTTTCGGGCAGTGGTAAAAATAATAATCTCGAAACTAAAACTGAGAAAAAAACATAATTAACAGATGGACGATAAAAATAAAATCAAAATAAACCCATTCAGCATGCGCGTATGGATGTTCAGATGTGTGGGTGTTCTACCTGTTGAAGGTTGGTTAATGGCGTCAGGTCCTCCATTGATTTTTTCCCCCTTGACACTGACAATGAAATATGTGGGTGCTCCTGCGAAGGTCACAATGTCCTGGTGCGATTGCGATTTATATTGATAATGTGCAAGCAACTCAAGTTATTAACGAAGTGCTCCGAAATTCCATTAATTACAGAAATTGGGTGCGTGGGGGAGGAGACGGATGCCAATTATCTTTTCCCAGTCTGCGAATCGAATAGAGAAAACATCAACAATGAATCATTGCATTGTGTTTTTAACTGTCATTTGATAAGATGAGGCTCCACTGTCACCAATTGATAGTGATTATTTATTTTGTTGGAAGTTGGAACCACACATTTTATCCTTCTATTGTTCTTGTGGTTTTGAACACATACGTTACTACTTTCTTCGAATTTAGCTCGCAATAACAATTGCCTCTCGCCCCGAATGTAGCACTGAACCAGCAAAGCAAAACACCAACAATAGAGGTTGGTTTTTTCCGTATCGCATCTATCGATTGTTTAGGCGATAGGATGTTACAGTAAAAATTAGAAAAGAAACCTGATTCAACCCGAATTCAACTGTGGAAATCATACATTTTTTGAATTCGACATTGTGGGTCCTTATGTCTTAGGAAGTATACTTTTTAAATATACTATATGTTTTAATACTGTTGATATGTTATCTTGAGAAGTACTCTCATATATAATTATTTAACGTTTATTTTACGATTTAATGGTTCTGTAAAAATATGATTAGAAATGTAAGGCGAAGAAGATAATATTATAAGACTCGGCACATTAATAAGAAGTAAAATGGATATGAACAAGATAAACACTTTACTTGATTGACACTTATTTTTAAAAATATTTTGTACTTTTATTCTTCTTCGATGAAGGAAAGCTTTATATTTGTTGTTAAGTTTTGAAGGGGAAAATTTAAGCAAGGAACTACGTCATATATCGAGTATAATTAATTTTCAGTTAGCAATTGTGGTGCCTAAAAATATATAAACTAATTTTTCGTAAAATATTTGTTTAACCGATATTTTTCCATCAGTATAGCGATCTAGTTCCCACTGTACTTGAGACTTTGTCGCCAGAGTATTTAGTATTTTTTTCACATTCCAACAACGGTCCTATTTTTGTGTTCTCTCCCTTTTCGTGACGTGTCTGCGGTGAATTTATTAAAAACCGCCTTTATCCTTAAATTACTGGACAAATAACCCAAAGGAGAGCAACATGGTGGAGCTGTCGAGCGTCATTTCCAAGTTCTACAACGACTACGTCCAGAACACGCCCAAGAAGCTGAAGCTGGTCGACATCTACCTGGGCTACATTCTGCTGACCGGCATCATCCAGTTTGTTTACTGCTGCCTGGTGGGCACCTTCCCGTTCAACTCCTTCCTCTCCGGGTTCATCAGCACCGTCAGCTGCTTCGTCCTGGCCGTGTGCCTCCGCCTGCAGGCCAATCCCCAGAACAAGACCGTATTTGCCGGCATTTCGCCGGAACGCGGCTTCGCCGACTTCATCTTCGCCCATGTGATCCTGCACCTGGTGGTGATGAACTTTATCGGTTAAGAATGCACTTACTGGCATGGGATTCGGATATATTTATAAATAAAATGTAACTCTAATAGAAGATCTTCTTGTACGCGCCGAGGAAATCGAAGGGTTCTGGTGTGAAGTCCAAATGGAGCTCTGGCTCTGGAATGGCCATCTCAAGGGGTTCGACCTTCTCGGCATAGTCGGCCAATTGGGGCTCGCCTTTGAGCTTGTTCGGTTCGGTTTCCTTGGACGCCTTGCTCTTGGAGGCAGTGAAGGAACTCTTCTTTGGCACCAGGATGGAATCGTTGACGTTCAGGGTCACCAGATCATGAAAGACCGCCTGATCCAGCGGGAAATTCATCTTCTGGGTTACCTTTTGGGGATTTAAGATTTCCTTTAGAAGCTGTCCCACTTATTTGTAGACAGGACTTACCTTGGGAGCTATTGAAGCCATGCCCTCCGGACTAAATTTCTTGTCTAGCACAACGCTGGAGATGATTCGAACCTCTTTCTGCTTGCGCACGGTGGTATTGTATTGGGGCACGGCTAACTTGTCCAACGAAAAGGGTTTGCTGGATATCTTCAGTTGGCACTTTTTGGCCCTCGGACAGGCCGGCGTCGGGATCTCCGCGGCATGGCCGTTGCAGGACTCGACGTGGACATTTGGCGGAGCTGAAGGTGTCAATTGGACACGTCGCGTGGTGCAGTTCCGCTGGTTCACATGGAGTCGGGTTTTACGCTTGTGCGGCATTTTGAACGAAGCCGCAAGGATTTCGAGAAAGTACTTTTTAATTCCGCCCTGATCCTAAACTGCACGCCACACTGATTCAGGTATTTTACAGCACTGACAAACAGCTGTTCTACAGTACAAAATCTATTGAAGGATGATATGTATTATATTTGATTTTAAATATAAAATACCCAAGAAATGATAATCTTATATATGCTTTACGTTTTATATTATAAACTCATTTTTCATGTTATCTTTTCGTCACATACCTTTCCTTTGTTCAGTATCTACTTTAAACAGCCGGTTCCTGCATTTTACAACACTGCACCACCTGCAGCTTTTTGTTGTTGGGGTTTGGGGCTCGAACAAAATATTTTGATTCATCCTTAAAAAATGGCATTATCCCGCGCCAAGCCCGACGAACTGCCCAAGGATGCAGTTGTGATCACAGAGGATCAGGCCCTGAAATACCAGTGGAAGATCATAACCGCTTGGGACAAAGTCGGCGATGTGTAAGTGCAAAAGAGGTCCAATCAAGCTGCTTACCTAACAACTAAACCAAAACAATTTCTTTTAGATGGTCTCTGCGATATACTCCTGGAATTCTGAGTGCCCTGGCTGCGGGAACCGGTGCATACATCAATAATCACTATCGCACCAAGCTGCGACTGGGAGGACATGGTCGGTTGTCCAGTTACCTGCCCATTGTAGCCGTTCCCGCCATTTTTACCATGCTGACGCACAAGTTCTTCATCCAAAGACCCATTCTGCTGAATCCCCTGGGCGAGTGCCCGGTGTGCATCCAAGTGCGGTCTGCCGCCTTCCAGACGGGTCTGGGCATTGTGTATCCCACGATCCTTGCACCATTTGCCGCATTTATGTTCGCCACCCGCTGCTACACGTACCGCATGCCCTCGATCACGGAGAGTCCGCGTGAGGTGTTCCAGTTGTGGCGCAAGATCACCCGCCCCATTGTCCCAGCCCTGGGCACCATCATCTGCCTGCAGGCCCTGCTCACCATGTTCCTGACCGGTCAGGAGGACAAGCAGAACTTTCTGCTAATGCTGCGCATGAGGGAGATCGAGCACCAGCTGGAGGAGGAGCACCTGCCGCAGCGAATCGACTTTTAATTGTTATACTTTTGTTAAATAGCTGAAATAGAGAAGCATTTTGGGGTTTAACCTAGATGCAATTTGTAGGTAAAGTGTTTTGTTTCTAGGGCCAAAGAAACCTTTTTATGGCTAAAAATGAGTGGATCGAAATACTTATTTTGTATTAAATATTTATGTATACTGTGTTGTAGGACATTCAATTCTTGTGTATATGAATGTAAAATTCAAATTTGCGCACTTGTGGTGACAGCGACAAAAAACGGTTACTTTGACCATCCCTGAGATTATCGATAACCCTCAAAGTTTGCCGCATTGCCTATCGGAAGGTGAGAATCCCACACGTTGCTGCAGTCGGCTGACGAAATTGTTTGCATTTGCATTTACTGTTTAAAACGTGAGTAATACATAGTTTGTTTTGCTTGAACGGCAGGGCGGCTTAACTCAAAACAAAGAAAATAAACAAACGGACTCCTTTCTGATTTAATTTGCCACTTAATTGTGTAACTCTGTCACGTAGTGTGCAGTGTGCACTTTCACTGCTTCGATTCCGATTTGTGGGCCAGTTTGAGGGGTTAGGGAGTCCCAATTGTCGCGTGGCAACGCTTTAGACCGAGCACACCCACCACTCTTCCATTGTCCATTGCAGAACCAGCAAAATGAAGTTCCTCACCGCCAAGGAGGTGCGCGATGCCTATCTGGGCTTCTTCAAGGAGCAGAAGCACATCTACGTCCACTCGTCCAGCACGATTCCGCTGGACGATCCCACGCTGCTGTTCGCCAACGCCGGTATGAACCAGTTCAAGCCAATCTTCCTGGGCACCGCCGATCCCAACAGCGAGATGTCCAAGTGGGTGCGCGTGGCCAACACGCAGAAGTGCATCCGTGCCGGCGGCAAGCACAACGATCTGGACGACGTGGGCAAGGATGTCTATCATCACACCTTTTTCGAGATGCTGGGCAACTGGTCCTTTGGCGACTACTTTAAGAAGGAGATCTGCTCCTGGGCCTGGGAGTTCCTTACCCAGCGTCTCAACCTGCCCAAGGATCGTCTGTATGTGACGTACTTTGGCGGAGATGAGGCCAGCGGCCTGGAACCCGACTTGGAGTGCAAGCAGCTGTGGCTGGACCTGGGTCTGAAGCCGGAGCACATCCTGCCGGGCAGCATGAAGGACAACTTCTGGGAGATGGGCGAGACCGGACCCTGCGGACCCTGCTCCGAGCTGCACTTTGACCGCATCGGCGGACGCAGCGTCCCGGAGCTGGTCAACATGGATGATCCTGATGTTCTGGAGATCTGGAATCTCGTGTTCATCCAGTACAACCGCGAGTCCGATGGCAGCCTGAAGCAGCTGCCCAGGAAGCACATCGACTGCGGCATGGGCTTCGAGCGGCTGGTGTCCGTCATTCAGAACAAGCGTTCCAACTACGACACCGATCTGTTTGTGCCCCTCTTCGAGGCCATCCAGGCGGGCACTGGTGCTCCAGCCTACCAGGGGCGTGTGGGCGCCGACGATGTGGACGGCATCGACATGGCCTACCGCGTGCTCGCCGATCACGCCCGCACCATCACCATTGCCCTGGCTGATGGCGGCACTCCGGATAACACTGGCCGCGGCTATGTCCTGCGACGCATCCTCCGACGCGCTGTGCGGTAAGATACCTTGGATTAAGATAAAAGTGACCACATTTATGAACCAATCTCTTTCGTTTCGCCTCCACAGCTATGCAACGGAGAAGCTGAATGCCAAGCCCGGTTTCTTCGCCACCCTGGTGAACACAGTGGTGGACCTGCTTGGCGATGCCTTCCCGGAGGTGAAGAAGGATCCGCAACACATCATTGACATTATCAACGAGGAGGAGTTGCAGTTCCTCAAGACCCTAACGCGCGGGCGCAACCTGCTGAACCGCACCATCGAAAAGTTGGGTAACCAGTCTACCATCCCTGGCGATGTTGCCTGGCGGCTGTACGATACCTACGGCTTCCCAGTTGATCTTACCCAGCTGATGGCGGAGGAGAAATCCCTAAAAATCGATATGGATGGCTACGAGGCTGCCAAGCAGAATTCCTATGTGCTATCGCAGGGCAAGGGAGCCAGCAAGATCGAGGAGATCAATCTGGATGTGCATGCCATTTCCGAGTTGCAGGAGAAGGGTGTGCCGCCAACCAACGACACCTTCAAGTACAAGTACGAGGCTGTGTCGGACGAACGTGACTCTGCCTACAACTACGGTGTGTGCAACAGCAAGATCGTCGCCCTGCGTTTCGAAAACCAGTTTGTGAACGAAATCAGCAGCGGACAGAAGGCAGGCATTGTCCTGGACAAGACCAACTTCTATGCTGAGAGCGGTGGTCAGATCTACGATCAAGGTGCTCTGGTCAAGGTTAACGACGAGGCAAACGAATTCCTGGTGGACCGTGTGTACAACCGCGGAGGCTACATTCTTCACATCGGCGTTGTCGAGGGGACCCTGAAGGTGGGCGATGAGTTGGAACTGCACATCGATGTGGAGCGCCGCTGGCTGACCTCGAAGAACCACTCGGCCACCCATGCCCTTAACCATTGCCTGCTGCAAGTTTTGGGTAAGGACACCGAGCAGAAGGGCTCCCTGGTAGTGCCAGAGAAGCTGCGCTTCGATTTTAACAGCAAGGCAGCCATGACCATCGAGCAGGTGGCCAAGACGGAGCAGCTGACCAAGGAGATGGTTTACAAGAATGTGCCCATATATGCCAAGGAGTCGAAACTGGCGCTGGCCAAGAAGATCCGAGGCCTGCGGTCTGTCTTCGACGAAGTTTACCCAGATCCCGTGAGGGTAATCTCCTTCGGCGTGTCCGTCGACGAACTGGAGCAGAGTCCCGATTCGGAAGCCGGCGAACAAACCTCCGTGGAGTTCTGCGGTGGCACCCATCTTAGGCGTTCGGGCCACATCATGGACTTCGTCATTAGCAGCGAAGAGGCCATTGCCAAGGGTATCCGACGCATTGTGGCTCTCACAGGACCCGAAGCTCTGAAGGCACTGAAGAAGTCAGAGGCTTTTGAACAGGAAATCATCCGGCTTAAGGCCACCATTGATGCCGATCAGTCTGGCAAGGACTCCAAGTCGCATGTCAAGGAGATTGTTGAGCTGACCGAGCAGATCTCGCATGCCACGATTCCGTACGTGAAGAAGGATGAAATGCGCAACCTGCTGAAGGGTCTTAAGAAGACGTTGGATGACAAGGAACGTGCCCTGCGTGCTGCCGTCTCGGTGACCGTGGTGGAGCGCGCCAAGGCGCTGTGCGAGGCTAATCCCCAGGCCACCGTGCTGGTCGAGCAGCTGGAAGCCTTTAACAACACCAAGGCACTGGATGCCGCTCTCAAGCAGGTGCGCAGCCAACTGCCCGACGCCGCCGCCATGTTCTTGTCCGTGGATGCCGACTCCAAGAAGATCTTCTGCCTGAGCTCGGTGCCCAAGAGTGCCGTGGAGAAGGGCCTGAAGGCGAACGAGTGGGTGCAGCACGTTTCCGCCACGCTGGGTGGCAAGGGAGGTGGCAAGCCGGAGTCCGCCCAAGCCTCGGGCACAAACTACGAAAAGGTGGATGAGATTGTCCTGTTGGCCAGCAAGTTTGCCCAGTCGAAATTGTCTTAAATGCAACAAGAACTAACAAGTAGCCCGACCTTAAATTACTCACAATTTTGATACACAATTATGCTTAATCCTAATCCGTTGATCTGTTCCAAACAGCATTTCAGATGAATTTTAACGGCTATTTATAAAATAAAGGCATTTATACATTAAATTAAAGAATCTCTTCTGTTTAAGTTGGAGTAAAGGTATTAATATAAATTTGAATGGGGAAAAACACAATTTGAACTGATTTTGCACATTTATTTACTTTTCAAACTCTAATGATAATAGTTAAGCCTTATTGAGTAATACATTAAATGTAGAATTTGTCAATAACTATTTTTTTGAATATGACACACATAGTTTCAAGAACACACTAAGCCTAAGATTTGTTTTTCTGTATTATCCAATCGACTGCCTCGGAAAAGTTTTCCACCAAAGCGGTTGGTGGAGGCGATGGCTTGACATCTGGCAGATATTTGCCTGTCTTGACAAGAATGCCCTGCATACCCACGCTCATGGCGCCCACAATGTCATCATTGGCGTCCTGGAAATCACAGAAATTAGAAGAGGCCACAAGTGATTAAAAGTTTCACTTACATCTCCTATCATGACGCAGGAGGCGGGATCCCGCCCAGCCAGAGCGCCTTCGAAGAAGTACGGATTCGGCTTGCCAATGACTTTGGCCGTTCGTCCTGTGGCAAACTCCAGACCCTTGACAAAGCATCCAGGACCCAAGGCCAGACCTTCGGCACGTTTGTAGTATTTACCCTGGTGCACTGCCACCAGCTTGTGATTCTTATTCTCCAGCAGAACACTATTGGGAAGATTATCATATGGTTAAGTTATGATTATATACTCTATAACGATGCTCACTTGAAAGCCTCGTTCAGCTTCTCATAGTTGAAGGCCTTGGGAGCCAGACCAATCAAAACTGAATCCTGGTAGCGCTTGGTATCCTCCGGCGGGAAGTCCTGGCGCGCATCCTCGGACAGGATGTAGTACGGATTTAGTCTCTCATTCTCCACAAAATCGACTGCGGCGCTCAAGGAGCTGTAGATCTCCGAGGGGTCCACTTGAAAGCCAATCTTGCAGAGGCGTTCGTGAAGAGTGGCCTTGGAGTCCTTCGTGGTGTTTGTAACGAATTTGACTGCTACTCCTGATTCTCGTAATCTGCACAATAACAAATTTTTTCCTCAAGAATACTTTTTATTTTCTTGTAATCTAGCAGTCGCACCTTTTCAAAGCCTCAACTGCATTTGGAGTGGGTTCATCCTCCACATGCAAGGTGCCACTGAGATCAATTAGAGCTCCTTTGATAGACATCCTTCTTGACTGGGCAAAGCTCAAGCTCTTTCTTCCTCCAGAGAACAAAAACATTGAATACTTTCCAGCTGGTTCGATTTCCGATAGTCCTTTCGATAGGTTTCTGTATCAGCAGGTTGGTTTCCAGGGGCGTAGCTCGGTTTTTGAAACTCCGTAAAAACCTTAATACATTCCTTTTATTTGAGTTAGGGGTTCGAAATTCTAAGTCACCATACCCTTAATTGGTCTAGACTCTAGATATAAGGCAAAGAACATTTCTTACATTTTCATACGACCCCTTTTGCACAGCTGTTTCTCTGACTACGCCCATGATCACTAGCGATTTAAAAATGTTGTTTTCTACCGGCAGATATTTTCTGGCGCGGATTTCCTTGGATTTATCCAAAAATGTTAAGCCATGTGGACTCATAGCCAACTACTGCCAGGTGGCCACTGCCCTGCGTCCAAAGAAGGCGAAATCTACCCGAAAGGAGGTAAGATTCTCAGTTTCCAATCCAATTTACATAACTTTATTAACATTTTGGTGTCCCCCAACCAGGCGCAGTACTTCTCCGATGCCAAGAGAATCCGTGCTATCGGCGGGAAAGGCGGCGATGGTTGCGTGTCCTTCCTGCAGCTATGGTGCAATGAGCGAGCCGGTCCAGATGGCGGAGACGGTGGCCACGGCGGCCATGTGGTCTTCCAGGCATCCAATGATGTACGCAACTTCAACCACGTGGGGAGTGTCCTGAAGGCGGAGGAAGGAGAAAGGGGGAGCTCCAAGGACTGCCATGGCAAGAACGCCAAGCACTCGGTGATCAAGGTGCCCATCGGCACCGTCATCAGGAATGCCCAGGGTCTCATTGTCGGTGATCTGGGGCAAGCGGACCTCATGTTTGTGGCCGCTCGAGGCGGAGCCGGCGGTAAGGGCAACCGCTTCTTCACCACGGACAAGGAGACAAGCCCCAAAGTGTGCGAGTACGGTCCCAGTGGCGAGGATCTTTCGTACACCCTGGAACTGCGCAGCATGGCGGATGTGGGCCTGATTGGCTATCCCAATGCGGGCAAAAGCACCTTGCTGAATGCCCTGACTCGGGCCAAGCCGAAAGTAGCTCCATATGCCTTCACCACGCTGCGTCCTCACTTGGGCACCGTGCAGTACGATGACCACGTCCAGCTCACCATTGCCGACCTGCCTGGACTCGTGCCCGATGCCCATCTCAACAAGGGCTTGGGCATACAGTTCCTGAAGCACGCCGAACGCTGCACGCTACTGCTGTTTGTTCTGGACGCCAGTGCGCCGGAGCCTTGGACACACTACGAGCAGCTCATGCACGAGCTGCGCCAGTTTGGAGGACGCCTGGCGAGTCGCCCGCAATTGGTGGTGGCCAACAAACTGGACGTGGAGGAGGGCCAAGGAAACTTTGAGGAGCTGCAGCGAAGACTGCAGAATCCCGTGCTTGGCATCAGTGCCAAGATGGGTCACAATCTGGGACAACTACTGAACAGCATACGCAAGGGATACGACCGCCACAAAGACCTGGCCAAGGACTCCAGTTAAAGGCTACTGTTTAAGTTGTTTTCGGATTGTTATTTATAAATTAAACTTTAACCTTATGAGCTAAGCAATCGGGAAACATTCGACTACAATCCCTCCTCGGATGTGGGAAGCCAGAAAGCCATGTTGGTGCATGCAGACGCCAACATCATGTATTTGGGATTGAACTGGACACATTGCACCGGCCCCGGATGATCTCCATTCAACACAGAGACCTTGTTGCCCGTATCCGCGTTCCAGATGTGCACGCGTCCATCGGTGCTGCCCGAGAAGATGAACTGCGAGTCAGGGCTGAAGCTAGCCTCGATTGCGATGCCCTTGTTGTTTGGATAGCCGGTGAACGTCTGCAGCGGAGTGCCATGGAAGGCATCGACCAGTCGGATCACCGATCCATTTGTGCTGATCAGTATGGTTTTGCCGTCCCGCGAGAATTTCAGGCCTGTCCAGTCGCACTCCTTCTCCTGGTTGAGCTTGAAGGTGACGAAGGGACCCTTGTCGAAGGAGCGCAGGTCGTACAGCTTGATGCTCTCCGAATTGACGCCGGCGGCGAAGATCAGACCCTCCGGATCGTAGGCGGCGATGGGTCGCCCGGAGAGATGCATCAGTCCCTGGCAGTTGGGCGAGCGCAGGTCCCACAGGCGAAGCGTCTTGTCCAGGGAGCCGGAGAGGAAGGTGTCCTCCACCGGCGAGATGCACAGCGAGATGACTTTCTTGGTGTGGCCGGGGAAGTAGCGCAGATACTTGTTGTCGTGCAGGCTCAGATACCGGATGGTGTCGTCCACCTTGGTGGAGCTGTGGATAGCCGTGTTGTTGGCATGTGTGAAGTGGATCAGATCCACGCCGTACTTCTTCGAGTTCACCGTGCGCGACTGCGTCCCCTTTTCGCAGTCGTAAATCACGATCTGGTCGTCCTCGCTGCACGAAATCAGGTGTTCCCCATTGGGCGCAAAGTCGATGGCGTTGATCTTGTCCGTGTTCTCCCGAAAGATCTTGGCCACCTTGAAGCTGCGCACCACGGGATCTATTAGTTTTATCTTCATTTTGATCAGGCGGATTTAGTTGTGATTTGTTGTCAATTGAATCTTTTTTTTGACGCAAGGCTCTGCTAGTGATGGCAGACGACTCGATAGGGGAGTTATCGATATCGAGCTAATGAAATGGTTCCGGAATGAATCGTTAGACCGGAACCAGTAACCAGGTTTTGAAAAGCGCTCTGAAATCAATAACGGTTTTTTTGTATTTATGAATTCAAAAAACAAAACTTTTTATTTGTTGAAGTATTAATGCTATAAAAGCATTAATGATCTTTTAAAGTTAAAATAATCTATTTTGTTTTAAAATTCCTCTGAAAATCTCAAATTTTTGTTCATGTTTTGGAAAGAAAACTGGCAAGGTTTATAGAGCACTATTGATCTTATAAAGTAAACATTAGAAAGAAATTAAAGTAAACCCAAAAACAACCAATATTCCTCTTAAGATCCCAAGAACTGGAGAGATAACATAAAAATGCATACATCTATTTCGATAATATATTTTAGTCAACAACAAAATTTAAGTAAAGCATGTGTTATGTAAAGCGAATAGAAAGGAAAACAACATTAATTTAGCTACATTTGAAATGTACACAGTGCAATTGTTAATGGACTAATTAATTCGAATGTGGCGGAGGGCAATCGCAGGTGTTACTGTGGGTATTTCCTAGCAGCTCCTTGGGGTCAACGTACACGGCACCCTCTTTGCCTCGAGCGAAAGGTGTTTGTCCGTTGGTTTGTAAGTAAAAGTCGCCATGTATTCTGCAAATTACAATTTCAAATAATTACTTTCTATTTCTATTCGAGGTCTAACCCCCAAGGGCAGTTGGTACTTACGTCCTTGGGCAATGATGACCCATCACCACCGGCGGGCATGTCTCTGAAGTTTTGTTTTGCTTAAAGTCCGACCATTTCTTCGCAGGCACAGCATCGAATCCAATGGGATACCGATCCGAGACACTCTCGGCCCAGAACCACCAGCTTCGTCGATGGCTGGACAGGTCGTTGTCACTGAGCATCTTGTAGTTCCTCTTGGGACAGCCCGGCTGTAGGCTGTTGCCACCGTTGGGCCAGAAGTCCGCCGTGCCAGTGCTCGTCGGAGCTCCATATAGCCAGGCATCCGTGTGTATCACGTCCACGAACTCCGCATCGCTGGCAGACAAATGGGACCCCGGATAGAAGAGTGGAAAGGCAGGATCCAGGGCGGATATTCTGCAAAATATTTTAAGATTCGTAATTAAGAAATGGTTTAAAGTTAGGTAAGTGGAGTAAAACAAAGTTTAAGGAAAAATGAGGCATCTTTAAAATCCTACGAATTCTAAATTTTATACGTTGAGGAAAAACTCACATTAAATTGTTTCTGCTTAATTCAAAATTAAAACGTTCATGCTTTTTATTGTTATTTAAAATGTGAAACTAATATGTTCAATGAACATTGTTCATCCATTGGAAAAAATAAGTTTCTAATGAATTTGTAATTAATATGTTTAGCCATTTGAACAAATGAACTTTAAAAACATTCGTTTAAACAAATGACTTTCAAATTGAAAAATAATAATACTATTTTTTAATTATAAACAATATAACTAAAACAGGTGTTATTGAATATAATCCGTTTAAAAATAAAAGTCAGTATACAGGAATTGAGAAAACCCTCTTACCTTCTCAGCTTTCGAACGCCCTTGGTGCGCTTAATTATCTCGCGGCCAAGGATTCCGGCCAATTGGCCACCCATCGAATGTCCAACTATGTGAAACTTGTCAATATCCAGGCCGTGGTCGAACATTTGAATCAGGACCTTGGCCAACTCAGGGCCCAATTGCTTGAGGTTGGGAAAGGCATCGAACATGTAGTTGCCATCGGCCAGTTCGCCCCAATCCAGAACAATAAGGTTGGTATCCTTTCGCTCCAGATAGGCCTCGGCTATGACGTGAATGCTCTCCACATCCGGATCCTCCAGGTAGCCATGCAAATAGAGAACTGTATTCTTGCCCAAGTCCAAGTGCTCATCCTCCAAAAGACTTTGGAAGTCGGTTAGGTCATAGATATCGCTATCAGCTACCGTGGGTCTGTGAAAACAAGATTAAAATTGGGCAAATTCTTGAAAAAAACTTAGGATTTTATGAAAATTTATATATATTCTCTTGAAAATCGGTATATCATTAGAAATGGATTATACTAATAAAACGTACCCATAGTAAAGTATAAACTTTGCCGTCGTCAGATCTGCCTTGGAGTTCTTGAGCCCACATAGCAACCCTGATCAATAACAATTATCCAAATCGTATTAGTGGAATTTTCCATTTTCGCTTACTCACTTACTGGATTTGTTTTTAATGGCCTTGTGCATTTTTCTGGGGGGCTGTCGGCTATTAGTCCATAAAGTGATTGATTACGTGGCCAGTGGGTTGTCCGGATATCCTCTGCTCCCATGCGGTGATTGTCAAAGACTGGGCCTGACACTCGGTTAGCCGGATTAACGTGAAGTGGTCTGGCCAGTACTGAACCGCATTGAAATAGATAACTCTAATTAAATTTCAATCTTTTTCGGATAAGATAATGAGGGCGGCCGAAAAAGCCTTGCGACATGAGCATCGTGAATAGTGGATTGTGAATCACGGCGGCAAAGTCCGGCTGGGAGGTCCAAAACTTTTGCCCGTCCATGCATCATTCATGTGAACATGTGCACTGTACAGTGGAACATCCGATTTTGGGCACTTCAATACTTAAGGCCCCCTTATAATTATTCACCCTCTTCCATGGATTTAACAAGTTTAATCGTACGTTAATCCCATTATGCACTTGAGAAGTAATTTTAAGGTGATTGTACGCAGGCAGTAAATGAAAGCTATAAAAGCATTGTCGCCAGTTAGTCTACCCATTTCCACAAGTAGTTATTTCGAAATCCACATTCACATTCAATTAAAATTTCAACACTAACGACTTCCCCTAAAGAAAATTGGCGAGGATAATTACAAAGTTACCCAGTTTTAAATTATAAATTATAAAAGAGTGTAATAACTATAATTGGATACTTAAAATCATCTAGATACATTTCAATAAACTGTTATAGTTTCTAAAACATTGTATCTATAAAAAATTTTATAGTTAATAATGTAAGCTAAAAAAAAATGTGATTTATTATTTTTTCTTCTTATTTAATCGCTTTTGGTACTATACTTTATCAAAAAAGCCATTGAAAACTTATCTCCTAAAAAATTATATATAGCCCTCTCAATAATATTTGTCACTCTAAGCAATAAACCTTTTTTATAGACTGCTAGAAAAGTCATAAAATGTTGATCTTACACCGCTTTTATGGAAATAAGGTATATGTTTGCCAGGTCTCAGTTCAACAAGCTTTAGGGCTCACTGTCCATTGCCACAGATTACCTTAACCCAGGGTCTAAGTGAACAAAACCACAATTACAATGGTTAAATATGCAGACTTGAAATTACAGCAATGCCAAACAAACACACTTGTAAGCTACAGTAGTACGTCTTTGGTTTAGACCAATGAACTTTGGTTTGGTAGAGAAATTACTGCTTTTATTATATGAATCTTTTTTTAGCAGAAGATTCGGATGATTCATACTTCGAAACTGCGATAAAAACTGTGTATTCCGAACCGTATACGAATAGTAATCACAACTAGATTTATACAAGGAATCATAATCTGGGGATGATGAATATTATTGGGTTGTTAAATTATTACCAAGGGACTTATTTATAATAATTATTATAAATAATAATAAATCTTTCCCGAGGGAAACCAAATTTAAAAAAATGTAGAACCAATTCTATAACTTTAAGTAGTAAAATAATATTAAATACATCTGAAAAAAAGTTTCGATTCATTTTTCTATAATTTTCACATATTTAAACTAAGTTCGTCTTAGGGAAGTAAAACTGTGACATTGTGTGGGGAAATCGTGGCCCCCTGACCCTGGTTGCGCTTCCCCAACGCAATCGTAATTTAAGTACCGGCCTTTTTTTGGCTCAATTTCGCCGCTGTGTTGCGGACATAAATAAAGAGCACTTCAATTTATATTCCGGCTTATCGGTGGAAAATTAGCCGTCAGATAATGATGTCGTGGGAGCGGGACGAGGGGTTCGGCGCCAAGCACTTGGCGGAAAGCACAAAAATAATACTTAGCAAAACGCGCCACTTAGGGAGATTCCAAAAAAAAAAACAGCTAAAATAATGCAGCAATAATTGTAATAACAGCTCAGCATTTTTGACATATGCGCGTAATTAACGCATACCCTATAGACTAAATAGTGGACAGTTGTTGCGACTCCGGGAACAGGTGAATCGTAGGTCAGTGGTCGGAAAACGGACGCGGAGATTGCGACACCAGTGGGGAAATTGATAATGGCCCGGATTCGCCTGTATTTGGGCACACAAACACCAAAGTTTTCTTATACACACACATAATTGATTGGTTCCACCCATTTGCCCAATAAAATTTGCATCTGTTTCCCATATTGACTCGCCATTCCACGGTGATTACGATGATATGGGGTCTCAAGCGCCAGACCAGACGAATAATTCAATGGCACTTACGAGTGGGCTCGGAATGGAAACCGAGAGTTAGGCAAACATTTACCCACGCGCAGCGAAACGACTTTATAAACATGCGCGTCGCCCCGTCGCAAAAGTCCAACTGATCTCTCGCTCGAAACTGCTCGCCACCAAGTGCTAACCAAACGAAACCCACAAATATACCTTAACTATCGCCAGGTGTCAGTTTGGGGACTATCGATATCGTACCAAATAAAAATAATAATATAAATATATAAAATAATGTTATGACAATTAAAAATTATATTTAAGATTTCTATATTCTGAATTTTGCATATAAGAAACTGAATGCCTATATTATACTATCATTTTTGTAAAGGAGGACCAAAATATTTTTGAAATAAGATTTAAGAAAACTTACAATTTTATTTGTTTTAAATAATAACAATATCCTTTACATAAGGAACTCCAAATTCAATTTTTTTCATACATATCCATTTAATAATATTGAAAACAGAAAATGTTGATTGTTTTAAACATTCAATTCAAAATAAATTTTCTCTGTTATAAACTATAAAATCGGCGAAATTCCAAAAATAGAAGTAAATCTTTCAACAATGGAGAAAATCTTGCTATAATATATACAATATTCAACAATATCCCCCTGTAAACGTAACCCTTTAAAAACTCAAGTGCCTTTTGTTTCACTACAATTTTATTTGCATTCAGATGCGATCAAATGTTCCAAACTCTACACATGTTTTTAATAATGATCTTTATGCCTATGGTAATTTTTATATATAATATAAGTATGTAAGTAGTAATGTTTAGCTGTGTCGCGTTTAGTGGGTCTCCTCCCATGCTGGCCGTGGTGGCACATCTCCGGTCTGCTCCTCCAACTCCTGCCTTCATCCATTCCATCCATCATCCAGCATCGGCTGCAGCGTTTAACACTTTCCGGGATCCACTACAAGTTTCCGTTCTTAAGTGTTGTTGCTACATATAATATGTTTTGTTGCCGGCGTTAAATACATACAGTTTTAAAAATAGAATAAAAAAGATGCAAGAAGGTTGATTACGCTGTAAACAAATATACAAAAATATATTATTGCACACGGACACACAGAGTGGGAAAGAGACACGGCCACGTGGTGGAGATGATACCGGGAAAGAGACAGAAAAATAAATGGTACAACATTAGTATCGGTTATGGTGATAGCTTGTGGTCCACTGCATTCGCACGTTAATCTGACATCTAGCTGCGTTATCTTGAACAAACAAAACGGAGGAATGAATGTGAATCATGTCGAGGAGGATTAAACACATTGGCTGTGGAACTGGCTGGAGACAGCGGGAGGCACACATCACACTTCTTGTGGTTGGCTACTCATCCTCTAACATTCCGAGTCAGCCTGGGGCGGCTCCACTGCCGTCGCCGCCGCCGCTGCTGCCTGTCCGTTCATCTCCTGCAGAATGTCTTCGTCAACCTCCGGCTGTGGAGGGGGTTCCACGATCAGCTTCGAGTTCATTGCCGCTTCAATTTTGGCACCCATGCAAGGCGGCACCGCCGTTCTAAACACATTCAGTTCCATTTCTACAGCAGGATAGCAAGTTAAGTTAAAGCGACTGCTCAAACGGACATATATATACAATGAAGTGTGTACTCTCTCATTTCCTATTCGATGCTCATTCTATGTCATCATAAAATCTTATTTTTAAAACATTTAAGATCCATATTTCCTTCTAAATGCAAATATTGAGACCCGCAAAACCCTTTTATACCCTCTTTGTGTATAAACATCATATAATCAATATATCCGATCCTTGCTTACCTGCTGCTATGCCGGCAATGGCTTGTGCAGCAAAATGCTTGACGTCCACATCCGTGTCCGCGTTCAGTTTGTCGAGTGTGGGCTTCACTTGGGCATCGATGACGCTGGCCTCCAGGAAGGGCGAGATCTTCTGCAGGGTCTTTGCCACATTGAAGCGAACATTGGCCACGGGATCGGCGGCCAGCAGGAGGACTGTGGGGAGCAGCAGCTTGGTGGTGATATCTGTGCCGCAGACCTCTGCCAAAACGTTCAGGCAGAACAAGCAGGTCATTCCTATAGAATACAATTACCATTAAATCTTAAAATTCATTGAAATACCCAAAGACACCACTCACTGTGCAAATAGTTCTTGTTGCGCGACATAACCAGAATCATGGGAATGATGGCCTGCTCGGCCCAGGGAGCTCCGAACTGCTCGACCAGTTTCTTCATGTTGAGGGTGGCTGCCTCACGAATGGCATAAACGTGATCGTTAAGCCATCCCATGCAGAGACCGCGCAGCTTCTGGTCGAAGAACTCCTGACCTAACTGACCGGCCAGAGCGGGCATATACTCGATGATGGCCAGACGCACGCGCCACTTGGAATCCTCGGCCAACTCGACAATGGCGGGAAGGAGCGACTGTGACAGCTGCTGGATGCCGATGACGTCGTTTACGCAGTCCAGGTTTGAGATGATGTTCAGGCGCACTTCCGGGCACTCATCCTTGAGCTGGATGAGGAACAAGGGGAGCAATTGCTCCACTGTCTGATAGGCGCCCAGCATCGGACTCAAACCCATGATCACAGAAGCCAGGGCGGACTTCACATGTGGATTGGGATCCGAGACAAGATCGCGCACATACGGCAAAATGGAACTTAGGATGATTTGCACCTGGTTAACCTTGTCCAGGTTGGCGCAGAAGTCCTTCACCTTGGTGGCCACCGCAGCGCGAACCTCGGCCTCGGCGTCCTTGAGCAAGTACTGGAAGGCGGGCACCAAATCCACACGAGTGATCTCCGGGCCCACCGCCTTTTGCAGGTCCACGAATTTCTCGGCCACCATATAACGCACCCTCCACGAAGAATCGCTGGCGCACTGGCGCAGCGTGGGCAGTACCAGCTAAGAAGTTAGGAAGGTATTGTAAGTCAGGGTGTCTGGGATTGCCGTGCTCATCCACTTACATGCTCCACATCATCCTGGGGCAGCAGCTGGGCAATGCTGACGCAAGCCTCCACAGCCAGCAGACGAACAGAGTCCTGAATTGTGATTAGAGATATAAGGTATTTTAATTAAATAGATATTTCTATAAATTCAAGTTAGTAAATTCCGTAAATATCTGTTTTTTATACATTACAAATATATTAAAATATATAACTACTGATTTAAAATACAGTGATGCAACTAACCTAAGTACAATAAACCAGTAACAATACCTGATCATCCTGTGCCAGCTGCACAAAGTTTGGAATCAAGTCGGACTTGAGATACTCGGTCTCCACAACCTTGGCGAACTCGCCCAGCTTGTTGGCAGCTGCCCGACGCACCATGGGTGTTTCGTCCTGGCACAGCTTGCGGAAGTTGGCGCGCAGCTCGGCCTTCACCGGCTGTGTGACCCGTGGGTAGCAGACCGAGAAGAGTCCGCAGGCGGAGGTACGCGAGGTGAACCAGTCGCCGGAGACCAGGCGCTGCAGAGTCGGCACCACGTGGATCTCCAGATCCTGGGCACTGTGCTCAGCGGCCACGGTGCGCAGAGATTCTACAGCCTTGTCCCGCACCACGGTTTCCTCCACGGTGGCCAGACTCTCCAGTGGCGGGATCAAGTACATGGCAAACTCGGGTCCGCCAACGAGACCTGTGAATTGGAGGCGGAATAAGGTTAAGAAAATTTTGTAAATATATTATTTATTTATTTACTCACTTGTAAAGTTGCCTAGTTGATCGGCCAGGGCCAGCAGCACCTCATCCTCATCGTAAATGGTCTCAGTGAGAAAGGGAATCAACTCGGACCGTGTGCGCTCTTCGCCCAAAGCCAAAGCGATGGTTGACAGCTTCTTGATGGAGTTTAATCGAAGCTGTTCGGTAGAGTGAGAAGAAATATAAAACGTTAGTATAAGTAAAAAATAAATAAAATAAAAATAATAAAAGTTAACCAAATGGTTTTTAACGTGCAAACCATACGTTTTTTTAAACAAATTAAGGAACAAATATATTGTTTTTGTAGAACAACAAGATAACATTCAATTTGAACCATTTGAAATAAAAAATTTTGATCATTTATGTATTGATATTCTATCTAAATCAGAAAATAGTTTAAAAATATTCCTTGATAAACTTTAAAAAGTTTGGTGTATAAAAGTGCAATTTTTTTATATTAATAGTTTGATATTATTTTAATTGGTTAACATTCAAATCAATTTGTTCAAACAAAACAAAAATTAAGTACAATACTACAATCGAGAATAATTATCTTCTGCTGATGATGCGAAAAAGTTTTAGTGAGTCAATGCTATAAACTTTGGATGTCATTCCATTTTAAATATAAATGCATTCTCAAGTGGAAAGCGAGCAGTACCGAAATAGGCTTAGGCATCTTTAAAGGTTAACAATTGTTTTCTTTTACAGATAAGATTGGCATTTAGATAAGTAAGATTGCTTTTATTTTGTAAAAAAGAGAACTAGTTTCTACCCACGCCCTATTTGCAAATATCAAGTTAAGTCTCAGGTTCCTTTCTTCTTTACAAATTAGTAAGTCGCAAATGATATTACTAATAAAAACCTTGCTTCTATTTATAAAACTAGAAGTTGCAAATGGTATTTGCAAATAAATCGTGCGTATAAACACACCAAGTAATATATAAGTAGGCATACATAAAAGTAAGATGGTAAAATCAAAGCTCTTTTTGAGGAATGACATATCAGTTTATAACAGTGGCTTCCCTAGTTATACGGAAAAACATTAATCTTGTGTATATCGAATTTTGGTATAATTTTCACGGGCCTTTCGATGCACGCGCTCTTCCTCTTCCTCCCACCAACACAAATAGCCATGCACACACAGTGACGCATTTTTGCACAAATACCATTAAATCACAGTGGGTGAGGGCACGCTTCTCCCAATTTATACCCAGAATATTTCGCAAATTCGGGAAAGGAACCTTATCTTAGGCCTTACCCCTGGGTCCCAACTAACCTGAACATCCTCGTTCTTCAGTTCGTCGATCAGAACCGCAATGGGATATAGAGAATCGTCGACCGATTTGTCGCTCGCTGCCATTTTTTCCGCTGTTGCTGCTGCTCACACACAAACGCACTGAAAATCGGTTTTTCTATTCTGCAGCCAATCAAAGAGAATTTGCCCTCTGGCCTTTAGCAATTCGCTTGTTTTGGGGTCACAAAATGATTTTGCAAGTTTCTTCTTTCTTCCAGCTCCAATTCGCAAATAATCAACACAATATCCTTTGATCGCTTTTCGGATGAAAATCGTACGTCGTGCAAAATAATTTTTTTCCTTCAAGTGACACAACGGTAGGGCTGGAACCAAAATCGATATTTACTCGATACTATCGATGTTTGCAAAGGGCGGCAACATCGATAACTTTTTAAAAAGTGTATTTATTCAACTGGTAAAAATAATTAGAAACAAGTAAATAGAAAATAACATTTTACTTATTTTCTTGGCCTGAAGTACTCTCTAATTTACAATTTTGAATTTATTTATTAATCGTTTAGCAGTGACAAAGTGTCTTTCAAAAGGTAATTGCTGTGAAACCGAATGGCGCGGCATTCGAATTTATAAAAATTTTGTTAACCATTGTTAATGTAAGCCAGAATTATGTGTATTTTAGATAATTATAATGGCATTATCATTTATAAGAAGTGCAGTAAATTGGTATAAAATAAAATATAATACAACTCAGAAACCATTATAAATATCGGTTCTACAGAACAGTGTGCCCGTTGCTAGGGTGTTGAAATTAGGATATGCATAAAAAATCCGGATAAGAAAATAAAAAAACAAGTATAACAATTAAATTGAAAAAACTTTATTGTAGCTTAATTCTCTAGGAAGGTTACAAACTCGGTTAGCTTGAGCAACTGATCATCGTTTCCGCGACTGGGCGGCGCTTCCTGGACCTTGGGCTTCAGGATCACCCGGTCACCGTCCAGTTCCTCAGTCCAGTTTAAGGCAGCACAGGCGTTCTTCAGCTCCTCCTCCGACATTAGGGACAATTCCAGGACGTTGTGCTGGTAGATGGACACATAGGCGCTGCCCATCAGCTTGAACAGTTCCTCGCGTTGTTTGACTACAAAATTATAATTATTAGAACTTTTAGGTAAACATTTAAGGGTAATCATACTTAAGAGATCCTCCACGGGTGCTTTAACTCTTTCGGACCATTCGTACTTGATGTTCTTGAAGAAATCGGCATAGTTATTATTTTGCAGGGCAACATTGAGCAGGTTCAGCTGAATCAGTTCTTTGTCCTCCTTCAGTTTATTCGGGATTCTCATCCACAGCAGCTTGGCATCGGCACTGAAATACATATAAAGGAGTTAATAGAATTGTTTTAGTTTCTTAATTATTCAGCACTTACAGTTTGTTTTGGTACAGATAAATTGCCAGTAACTGCTGGTAGACATCAGCTCCCAACTCGACTTGCTGTGGAAACAGAGGTCTTATCAGTTTCTTATATAGTACATATATTATATACCGACTCACCTCGAATTCCTCGTTCTCAAGACGCTGCTGCAGCTCACTATATTTATTTAAATGCATTTTTAATGTAAATTATTGGTCTGAAAACAATAGTATGACCGTTTATCGTGGGGTTGTAAACGAAACCTAGCCAAAGCAACCCTGTGCTTATGTAGAGTTTAGCTATGTATATCGATAGTTAAATTTACTAAATGTGAAAAATATGCATATGCTTATGCACAAATAAAATGTTTAATGGTAAGAAACTTGATTGAATTTAAAATCAATACGAATAACCAACGATTTGTAAAAAATACCGCTCAACTATCGCCTCTATCGATAGCTGCACTGACAGGTCTCCACAATCGCAGAGCTGTCAACGTGCCAAAAGTCTCCACCTTCTTTTCGGTGTCAAAAACTAGACTATCAAGATGGGTCGTATGCACGCTCCTGGGTAAAAATGCGATTTTTTGTTGTTTCCAGTGCAGCCGCACAATGCTGAGTGTTTGCAAAATGTGCCTGCCGTGCGGGATGATCGAATAGATGTGATATAGATGATGCCCCGCGGGGTTTAGCGGGTCTAAAATCGACCGCAAAAGGCAAGCACATGGTGCAGACGTAGCATTGACAGGCGCCACCGCCGCCATAAACGCGTACTAACAATCGTGTATTCATTCCTCCGCAGCAAGGGTATTTCCCAATCAGCCCTCCCCTACAGACGTACTGTCCCATCCTGGCTGAAACTGAACGCTGAGGATGTCAAGGACCAGATCAAGAAGCTGGGCAAGAAGGGTCTGACGCCCTCCAAGATCGGTGAGTGCCCGACCGCTATGTTGTTGTTTGAGGTTATGTTAATCCCCATTCCGGTTTTCAATCAGGCATCATCCTGCGTGACTCGCACGGAGTTGCCCAGGTGCGTTTCGTCAACGGAAACAAGATCCTGCGCATCATGAAGTCGGTGGGTCTGAAGCCCGACATTCCCGAGGATCTGTACCACATGATCAAGAAGGCCGTCGCCATCCGCAAGCATTTGGAGCGCAACCGCAAGGACAAGGACGGCAAGTTCCGTCTGATTCTGGTCGAGTCCAGGATCCACCGTCTGGCCCGCTACTACAAGACCAAGAGCGTCCTGCCCCCCAACTGGAAATACGAGTCGAGCACCGCCTCCGCCTTGGTGGCCTAAGTCCTCCGTTCGCTAGTGGGTAGTTTGTTTTCGAGTCTTGCGGGGTCCTACATTTCCATCAATGTACAACCAATAAACCCAACAAATAAAACTGGAAATCGGAACTATTTTATAGACTAAACAATTGCAGTGCTGTTTATTTCGTTTGGAGGAAAGTGCAGTTTGGAATTATAACGGCAATGGATGTAGAATGTTGAGCGAATAAGCCTCTTCAATGCAGTCTAATTTAAATATTGATCCGAGAGGTAAAACTTTCTTGCTTGGTGCTTTTTACTAATCGTAGTTTATATTCCATATTACTTAGTAAGTTAGTAGTGTTTTTGCATCTGCACTCCATTTTAAATGATGATGCGAGAGGTAATCTTATTCTTCGATGCTTTTACTAATCTTAGTTTATTTTTCAACTCTTTAAATTTGTTAGTTGGTTGTAGATTTGCATTTCATGTTAACAATTGACTTATAATCGAAGGAAAGTCCACTTACAAATATATTAATATTTGACTAATAGCTCTTGATTTCGAAAACAAAAAGTTGTTTATTGTGGTTTTTTTTGGATTACTCAACAGTAGTTCCAAGGTGTAACTCCATTATTAAGCTTTTTGTCAGACATTATTATTAAATCACAGCTTTTCAAGTTAAAGCAGATATTTAAACTGATGGGAATTCTTTTATTTCTATTTTAATTGCACTTGTTGCACCCTCTTCAGCAAGAAATTGCAGTTTGCCTTTATAAATATGTACATACCCATCGACAAGCCTACAGAGAACGAATGCACAGTATTGATTCTGTAAGTTGAATCTTTCCAAATAGAAATTTGTATTAGTATGATATTTACCTAGAAATCAAATAAACAAAGAAATTAATATGGGGTAATAAATTCAGTATGTCGGATTATGCAAATAATGCCGCAAATAACTCTTTTACGTCAAAGCTTGACTTTCTTTGTATTGATCGAACAGAACTATCGATTTACAGAACTCGAACTTAAGATTACAGTTCATCTTCCTGTTTAAGTATTCGCTTAGTTGGGTGACCTTTCTATTATATTATAACTTTTGTCAACTCCAGGTTATATTTACCTTTTGTATATTTATAGTATGTCGAAAATTAATTTTTTTTTCATAATAATTGATTATAATATGCATGAAATCTTCGCATGAGATTACTTATAACGCTGGAATACTTATAACTTTTTAGGGAATCTTTTAATCTTTGGGGGGTTTCCAAATTTTAATTATTCTTCTCTTTTTTGTTTGCATATTTTACTACATGCTAGGCCGAAGTCAAACATCGGCAAAAACTATGATGACGTAAGATATGGTAAGGTCTTTTGAGGAAGATGGGTACATGTACATACATACATACAATTACTTGTCTTCGTGAAATATCCTATAATTGTTGGTCTTAAGTAGGCTAAAATTATGAAAATATGTATGTAGAATTTTCATAATTTTATAAACTAAAAGTCTCAGATGGGAATTAAATATGTTAACATATCCATAAATATGATTATGTTGGTTATAAAAGCGCGATTGGAGTTTGTGTGCGCTTGGGGAGAAGAAGATGAAAAGTAAACTTAACGATGATATTGCTATACACAGTATAGTCTCAAAAAAGTGAACTATAGAACTATACATCGATTTCACATTAAAAGATTTTTTTTTTGCTATGAAACATCAGGAATAAATATATTATGATATGATTATATGATGATTTGATAAACAACATTTTAATTACATTTAACAACAAGATGAAGGGATATTTGTTGAATCACGGAGTGGTTCGCGTTGGTGAGGGACGACTGTAGTTTGTGAGCGCCTGGGGTTGGGGGCGAATTTCGTATTTCGAGCCGATAGCCGCCGAATCCGAAACCGCCAGTGTTCAGAACTCAGCATTTCAGTAGCCCGCTGGCCTTTCCGGCGCTCGGACCGAAGTTTGTTTTATTATTTACAATACGTATAGCTTTTGTTTTTGCTTTGCCGGGTCTGGGTCTTCTACCCTATCGCGATTTTCTCACGTTCGCCAGCAACAATAACCATATTGTTGAATGTAAACAATATTGAAATAAATGTACGTACATGTGATTTGCAAGCATGGGCAATTATTTTAATTGTACTCGCCGATTGCTTGGTAATTTGTGTGCCTGAAAAAAATCCATGTGATTAGATAATTTACAGAAAAACGAAAAACCATCGATGCGGCCTTTATCTCTGCGCAATTATTGTTTGTTACCCGATAAATGTAATGTCTGTTGGAGTCATTTGGATAAAAGTTTCCCTTTTTGCCAGCAACAACGTGGTACGAATCGTACACCCGCACATAGATATATATATACATAGGTACAGACTTATGTACGGTAAAGGCCCCAAGTGCTTATTCTCGGAAGGAGTGAGTGAAACAGGCAGAGAAAAAGAAACAGACAATTACAGTGGATACCAGATGGGAGATATATTACAACATGTAATATATATAACTCTCTGTAACTTCGAAAAAAGTTGAAAAAATTAAAGTTACAAGTCTAAAACTACATTTTTTCAAACATTTAAGCTTAGTTCTAGCTATTTTTTCAACCATTAAAAAAAAAAACAAAAAAGATATGAGTGATATTATTTAACCTAAAAGTATTTGCAAAATACTCTGTCATTTTAAAAACAATTATCGTTAAAACTTAAGTCAGTCATACATATACTTTTAAAATATTTTAAACCTTCCTCACATGTCTTGAGAGACCAATACGACTACTCGCGGTATAAACCACCATACAAAATTTACATTTACAAAATATTCACTGTATAGCGAAATTGCCAACGCGTGGTTTGTTTTAGGGAACTAAACAACTCTTGAATATTGCTGATTCCCTGTGCTTGTCGCCAAAGCGAGCCCTATTATGACGAATTACAAAACTTATGAGCAATGACACAACGACCATCCCTTAGTCCCAACCCATGGATATTCCTTAAAAAGTAAATATTACGACTTCTACGAGTCGTCAAGCCAACGTCAATAGCAATCGTAGATAAATAAAATAGCAATGTTTGTTTGATTAAGACGTGCCGTGTTTGTGCCCATATCGACTTTTGTTTCTAAAACCACTCAGCAGAATTACATATTTCCACCATGTGATATTGCTCAGTTTATCGTTTACTTATAGAACTGCTTATACCGCCCTCTATTTCAGTTTCTTTAGAGGGAGTTCAACATGCAGTCGGTGAAGACGGCAGATTTGCCGGAAAATCCGCGAGAACGTTCCAATTTTATTTCGGCAGCATGTTTCTGGTTGGTATATGCTTAAAATATACAATTAAAAATATATTACATTTAATTTATGATAACTTGTAATATTATAGGTACACCATGCCCACTTTTATCAAGGGTCGGAAAGACACTTTGGATACCAAGGATCTCTACAGAGCCCTGAAAGAGCACAAATCGGGTATGGTGAAATTATGATTATGAATCACCCTCTGGGGGATTGCGAAATTCCAAATCGATTTAGCATAAATATATCATAACGTTTGTATGACAATTGGAGATTTTTGTTATCAGTGCAAGTCACGGTTGTACATTAAACCATTTTTAGATAATGGAATGATCATTCCAACAGCCTTACATTTTCCACACGCACTGTATGTAGTTATCACGAGCACAATTAAATTGACTGATCGATGCATGTACAATGTACATAGTATGTTCGTTGACCGTCTTAATTGATTTGCTTTTTTTCTTCAATTGCGCCCATGATTTTGTCTTTTTATTTTCCCAAATTGATAACTGTGTCTCTGGGTAATCATTGTTTTCGTAATCCAACAATTATTGGATCCCCTATCTGCGATTAAACTGTGTTAATCTGTGCAATTTTTCCAGAGACTCTGGGCAACAAATTGTGCGCCTCGTGGGAGCTGGAACTTGAGAAGACCAAAGGAAAACCCAATCTTTTGAGGGCTCTACTTCGAGTTTTTGGTTGGTACTTTGCCCTATTAGGTCTGGTGCTCTTCCTGCTTGAGCTGGGTCTACGAACGCTACAGCCGATCTTCCTGCTAAAACTCATCGCCTACTATACACATTCACAAGATTCGGAATCCATTGAATCGGCCTACTACTATGCTGCTGGAGTGATCCTATGCAGTGCCCTCAACGTCATCATAATGCATCCCTATATGCTGGGCACAATGCATGTGGGTGAGTCAGGGGTTTATTTATATAGCTAAGTCAAACAAGATTAGGAGGGAACTTAGTAACTAAACATTGTGCTCTTAAAATATACCAACGTTTTTGTTATTCATTTATTTATAGGTATATCTTTTTTTATTTTGTATAAAAAACTAAACTATCTTATCTTTCTGAACAATATTATGCATTATATATTGATCAGGTCTACGTTTGTAGCCATTTATTAACTTATCCATGGTCTTAGTGGTCCGTTTAATTACCCATATTAGTTAATTAAACCCCCCACGACATAGGTAAACATATGGCAAATAATAACATTTAATTAGATAATCCGCAGTTCCACTTGGATTATTGCTTATACAAATTATAGTTACAGGCTTAATTTGCGAAAGTTACATGGGGAAAGTTAGATTTCGATACCTATTAGCAGATAACCTGGTTTTGCTAAGCTTATAAATAGTGTATATTTGATATTATATGTAATCATTTTATAATAATGAATTTATATATTTTCGTAGGTCTCAAGATGCGCGTTGGTTTGTGCAGCATGATCTATAGGAAGGCTCTACGACTAAGCCAGTCGGCACTGGGAGACACCACGGCTGGACATGTGGTCAATCTTATGTCCAACGACGTGGGTCGGCTGGATTTGGCTACCATCTTTGTGCACTACCTATGGGTGGGACCGCTGGAGACCCTCTTTATTACATACCTAATGTACCGGGAGGTAAGAACTGCGATAATCCCCCAAACCAAACAAACCCCTGGTAACAATGCAAAACCTCTCTACAGATTGGAATCGCTGCCGTGTTTGGTGTAGCCTTCATGCTGCTCTTTATCCCCCTGCAAGGATATCTGGGAAAGAGGACCTCGGTGTTGCGACTCAGGACCGCCCTGCGGACAGACGAACGGGTGCGGATGATGAACGAGATCATCTCGGGCATCCAGGTGATCAAGATGTACGCCTGGGAGTTGCCCTTCGAGCAAATGGTGGCCTTTGCGCGCAAGAAGGAGATCAATGCCATCCGACATGTGTCCTACATTAGGGGCATTCTGCTCTCCTTCATCATCTTCCTGACGCGAGTCTCCATTTTCCTGAGTCTGGTGGGCTACGTGCTGCTCGGAACGTTCCTCACACCGGAAGTGGCCTTCCTGATCACCGCCTATTACAACATCCTGCGCACCACCATGACCGTGTTCTTCCCACAGGGCATCTCCCAGATGGCCGAGACCCTGGTGTCCATAAAGCGTGTCCAGAAGTACATGCAGTCCGATGAGACGAATGTGTCGGATAAGAGTGTGGATCTCCCGGAGGATCCGCCAGGCAGCAATCAGGCAACGCTTCATGCTTACGCCGAGGAGGATCGCGATGAGGCTGAGGATAAGCTGTTGGGTCCATCTCTCGCCACCATTAATGAGAACGCCAAGCTGTCGGAGGCGGGAATCTCCATCATCGGACTAATGGCCAAATGGGATGTAAAGTCTCCAGACTACTCTCTCAATGGGGTAAACCTACGTGTTCAACCTGGAACCATGCTGGGCATTGTAGGACGCACTGGATCCGGTAAATCCAGCCTGATCCAAGCCATCCTGGGGGAGCTGCCCGCAGAATCCGGTGAGATAAAGGTCAATGGTACCATGTCATATGCCTCCCAGGAGCCCTGGCTCTTCTCCGGCACCGTGCGTCAGAATATCCTCTTTGGCCAGCCCATGGATCGCCGGCGGTATGCCAAGGTGGTCAAGAAGTGCGCCCTGGAGCGGGACTTCGAGCTGCTTCCGTTCAAGGATAAGACCATTGTGGGAGAACGTGGAGCTTCGCTGTCGGGTGGCCAGAAGGCCAGGATCAGTCTGGCGAGGGCTGTTTATCGGGAGACGTCTATCTACTTACTGGATGATCCTCTGAGTGCTGTGGACACCCATGTGGCCCGCCATCTCTTCGAGCAGTGCATGCGTGGCTATCTGCGCGAACGCATTGTTATCTTAGCCACCCATCAGCTGCAGTTCCTGCAGCACGCCGATCAGATTGTGATCATGGACAAGGGTCATGTGAGTGCTGTGGGCACGTACGAGTCGCTACGGGAGTCTGGACTGGACTTTGCCACCATGCTGGCGGATCCGGAGCGGGATGAGCATGAGGAGCGAGCGGGACGTTCCCGATCGGGCAGCTACACCCACAGCCATTCCGACCAGCGTCGCAATAGTGAGCAGTCCTTGCTGTCCATGGCCGACTCCTGTCTGGGTGATCCCGAGGCGGAACAGGCCATCAACCAGGAACGCCAGGTGGTGGGCCAGATCGGCCTCCGGTTGTACAGCAAGTACTTCAAGGCGGGCGGCGGCTTCTTCGCCTTCTTCGTGATGATGGGCTTCTGTGTGCTCTCGCAGGGATTGGCCTCGTTGGGTGACTACTTTCTGTCATATTGGTAAGAAATCTAACTTATAAGTTTTATAGAACATCATTTAATAGATATTTTTTAATTTTTAGGGTAACCAAGAAGGGAAATGTGGCTTACCGTGCTGATAATAACGACACCATCCATTCGGATGAACTGGAACCACGCCTCTCCATTTGGTTGCGGGATCTGGGCTTGCCCGTAGACGCCGAAATGCTGGACACGTACATATTCACGGTGATCACGGTACTGACCATTTTGGTGACCGTGGCGCGCTCTTTTCTATTCTTCAATCTGGCCATGAAAGCCTCCATTCGTCTGCACAACTCCATGTTCCGTGGAATCACCCGAGCTGCCATGTACTTTTTTAATACAAACCCATCTGGACGTATCCTGAACCGTTTCTCAAAAGATATGGGACAAGTTGATGAGATACTGCCCGCCGTTATGATGGACGTCATCCAGATCTTCCTTGCTCTGGCTGGCATTGTGATAGTCATAGCTATTGTCAATCCGCTGTTCCTCATTCCCACCGTAGTGCTGGGCATTATATTTTATCAACTGCGTACCTTCTACCTCAAGACCTCGAGGGATGTGAAGCGCTTGGAAGCAATCAGTAAGTGTCCGTCCAATCTTTGAAGAATAGTTTAGGATGTTTCAATGTTTTAAATGCATCTTAAACCTTTTTTTGAATAGCTCGGTCTCCCGTATACTCCCACTTGGCTGCCTCTCTGACCGGACTGTCCACCATTCGGGCCTTTGGAGCACAGCGCGTCCTGGAGGCAGAGTTCGACAATTACCAGAACATGCATAGCTCAGCATTCTACATGTTCATCAGCACCTCACGAGCCTTTGGCTATTGGCTGGACTGTTTCTGTGTGATTTACATAGCCATCATAACACTCAGCTTCTTCGTCTTTCCTCCGGCGAATGGAGGAGATGTGGGTCTTGCCATAACCCAGGTGAGCCATCACAGAAGTGATTCATCTGTTGACTTACTTAGTTCATCTGTCTTTCTGTATTTCGTAGGCCATGGGCATGACTGGCATGGTTCAGTGGGGAATGCGTCAATCCGCCGAGCTGGAGAACACGATGACCGCCGTGGAGCGGGTGGTTGAGTACGAGGACATTGAGCCGGAGGGGGAGTTGGAGGCCCCAGCCGATAAAAAGCCACCCAAGGCCTGGCCAGAGCAGGGAAAGATCGTGTTCGACGAGCTGAGTCTGCGCTACACCCCCGATCCGAAGTCGGAGAATGTGCTCAAGTCCCTGAGCTTCGTCATCAAACCAAAGGAAAAGGTGGGCATCGTGGGACGCACTGGGGCGGGCAAGTCCTCGCTGATCAACGCCCTCTTCCGACTGTCCTACAACGACGGATCCGTGCTGATAGACAAGCGGGACACCAGTGAGATGGGTCTGCACGACCTGCGCAGCAAGATCTCTATCATCCCCCAGGAGCCAGTGCTCTTCTCCGGCACGATGCGCTACAACCTGGATCCCTTCGACGAGTACAGCGACGAGAAGCTGTGGCGCTCCCTGGAGGAGGTGAAGCTGAAGGAAGTGGTGGCGGACCTGCCCAGTGGCCTGCAGAGTAAGATCACCGAGGGGGGAACCAACTTCAGCGTGGGTCAGCGACAGTTGGTTTGCCTGGCGCGGGCCATCCTGCGCGAGAACCGCATCCTGGTGATGGACGAGGCCACGGCCAACGTGGATCCCCAGACGGACGGCCTCATCCAGACCACCATCCGCAACAAGTTCAAGGAGTGCACCGTGCTGACCATAGCCCATCGGCTGCACACCATCATGGACTCGGACAAGGTGCTGGTGATGGATGCCGGCAGAGCGGTGGAGTTCGGGACGCCCTACGAGCTGCTCACGGTGGCGGACTCCAAGGTGTTCCACGGCATGGTCAAGCAGACGGGTCACGCCACCTACGAGGGTCTGCTGAAGGTCGCACAAAAGGTTCGTTACTACTTGAGTCTTAAGTGGGTGTTCAAATATATATATTCTCAATTTCATTTCAGGCATTTGAAACCTCCCAGAATCCCAGTCTTTCCTCATGAGACCAAGTTATTATGTGAACTAAGTGCTTAAAATTGAGCCGAGGTGCTTGTCACCGAATCTTTATAGCTAGTTTAACTAATGTTAATATTTTTGAATGTGTTATTTCGTGTGAATGTAAATATGTTTGTCCGTATGTATGTGAATACTTTATATAACTCAAAAATTGTATAGGATTGCGTTGCCTAATTTACTATTTGTATTTATTTAACTTTCACTAAGTGCAAAGAAGTGCCTTTAAAAATAAATAAAATATTTTCTCTGTTTACTTGTAGGATATTTTTTATTTGATATAAACAGGTGCAAACAATATTACAGATTATATTTTTTATGCAATCTACAAATATCTAAAAATGTAAAATATTGAATTGGGTTTATCTGATTACCAATAAAAAATGAAAACGGAACCGGCAACTAACCTCGTTAAGAAGTCTATTCATTTGCTTGATGTGATTTATGACGAGTTTATTTTTTTAAGAGCCTAGAAGTATGCAAATCATGAGCCAATGATTGTCAAACTGGAAGGTCTTTAAAATCTAAGACTTTTTGCTTATTCTTTTTGAAGTTGGTATTGGTAAAGAGTCGTACAAAATGGTTAGGGCTTATTATTAAAGTAAACGTGTGCAGTAGATAACAGGCTAAAGTTGTTTTTTCTAGGCAAAGTGAAATGGCTTAATACTTTAAGTAAATTTAATTTTTAAAACTGTCGTGCGATTATTAAACTAATCAATTTAACACTCGTCAATTTCAGGCGCATGATAGTAACGATAAATAAATCGTGTTAATGTAACAAAGAGTTACTCATATTTCCTTTGTTAAATAAAGGGAGTTTCCCCTTTTTGAGTTAGGTTCATTTTAGTGGGTTGTTAGACGTACTTCATATATTTACTTTTTTAAAGACCGTTTAAACGTATACGTAAAAAACTAAATTAAGTTTGGAAATTGTCACTTTATTCTTGACAACAGTTTATTAAATTAATACGGATACAAATTACTAACAAATATATACATAATACATAATAATCTGCCACCATCTCCTAGAGAAGGTTTTTCAGTCCCATCGTCAAGAGCAGAACCATGGCACCCAAAGAGACCTTCAGGCTAGTACTTCCATTGCACCGATCTGTCAAGCAGATATCACACTCATCGACAGCGTCTGCTGTAACCTCGAGATCCTTCCTTACAACCTCGCAGGCACCTTCCCCATCGGGCACCTGAACACAGCCACGGTTTATCACTGTTTGGGACACGAAGAAAATGTTGGGTTTAATTTTATTTATCTACTTGATCACCAAAAATAATCAAATCTTTGCTTCTATTGTGTGTACTCACCTCCGTCTTTGTAGATGCTGTAGCAGGCGGCAAGCTTATAGCTCACAGGAGAAGAATTGGTGGTAGCATCAGTAGTAGAATCTGAGTCTGTAGAAGAAGCTGTAGAAGAGGTTGTAGAGGAGGTTGTAGAAGAGGTTGTTGAATCCGTAGTGGCTGGGTCAGTTGTAGAATCTGTTGAAGATACTGTTGTAGAATCCGAGTTGGTAGAATCCGTCGTTGTAGAATCCGCGGTTGTCGAATCCGTGGATGAAGAATCCGTTGTTGTGGAGTCCGTGGTGGTAGAGTCAGTGTCAGAAGTGGTCGAAGAAGAGGTCGGAGAAACCGTGGTAGTAGAATCAATAGTAGGAGAAATCGTTGTAGATTCAGTGGTTGACGATTCCGTGGCTGTAGAATCCGTGGTGTCTGAAGCGGTAGAAGAAGAGGATGAAGAATCCGGGGTGGTAGAGTCACTAGCAGGAGAATCCGTTTCAGATTCACTGGTTGAAGATTCCGTAACTGAAGAATCAGTGCTGGATGAAGCTGTCGAAGAAGAGGTTGGAGAAACCGTCGTAGTAGAGTCCGTAGCGGGAGACTCCGTAGATTCAGTGGTTGAAGATTCCGTGGCTGTGGAATCCGTGGCAGTAGAATCCGTGGCTAAAGAATCTGTGGCTGTAGAGTCCGTGGCAGTCGAAACGGTTGTAGAGTCAGTAGCAGAAGAAGCCGTCGAAGAGTCCGTTGTAGATTCTGCGGATAAGGTGGTGGATTCCTGCAAAAGAAATATACATGCTTAGGAGATGTTTATGGAATGCTCTTCAGGTCCTACCGTATCGTCCTCTCCTTGTCTTGGCATCACTGAAAGAAGAGACCGTCTAAAGCGATTCAAAGCGGCATTTGTCTCCAACACGAATGCCGAAGAGCCATCAAGAGTGCAAGAGACCGTCCGAACATTTTCCACATGGCATTCATCTCCTACACAACTGTAGCATTCCAGGGCACTCGCTGGAAAAAAGTGGGTAAAAGGTGAGTCAGTGGAAAGGGGAGGGGGTGATGGGCAGGTGGGCTGAAGGCCGAACGAGATAAAATTCGTCGCTCGAGAGCAGGCAATAAGTCTGATTGATAAATCAAATACCAGATAACATCGGCACTGTTGCCTCATCAAGCGAATCGGACAACTTTCTACGCTAACTTCGGGGTTTTTAGGTTAACGTACTTGAGTTTTCCTTTTATCAGATAACCTTTCAACTCAAAGTGTGCTTCCATTTTAATCTGGATCATGGGATATACTATACTGTTCTGTGCCCAAATCTTAAATTAACTAACCTATTAAGCTTCCTTGGGCTCGCAGTAAGCTGGAATGATGCAATCTTTAAATTTTATAGATCAAGATAGCGAAAAAAAGGGGAACACCCGATTTGAGAATATCAGTAAACGGCTATCCATATAATTTGTATTACTCAATTTTGTAGCTTAAACTTTTAAATAGGTTTTTCAAAAGTAGACAAAATTAACATATCGTAATTCATGTAATTTCAAAAGCAAAGCAAGGCTTTAAAACATAGAAAAAAGTATCAAAAGACTTTTCTTATAAAGGTTGAATAATTCAGTATTATATAATTTTTAATATCGTATTAGACAAGGAAATAAAAATCGTTTTAAAACGCTTTTATATGTCTTTTTTAGTGCCTGTGAATATATTCTTTTCAAAGTATAGTCACTGCTCGAACCTTGTCCATTGCGATTATTAAAAACTGTTGGGGGCTACAAAACTAATTTCAATAATGGAACTGGCCATGGCGCTATTTCTCGACTGGTATTCGCTGTCAACACAGTTGATAAGGAGCCAAGTTACTTTTCTTTCGCAAAACTGAAAAAGTTTGTAAGTTCTACGAAAATTCCATTTGTACATCTGACACGCGATTAATCAATCAATAAGTTAAGACTCTGCATTATTCCATCAATTCTGCTGTACGATGCACTTTAAGATAATGGAATAAATAATTCCCACCTGGCAAAATAGATGAGCAGGCAAAAAATGCCATCAACAAAAAGTTAACCGTAATCAGACGCATTTTCCCTTTTTCGACCGAAAGGATTCTAGGCGAGAAAAATATTGTTCGCGAGGATCAGAGCGTATGAAAACCAAGAATCGCACCGCACGATGGTTGAATGGGAACTACCAATAAAATATAATGTTAACCTGGCTTTTTTATCATTTACAGTCGCGAATGATAAGCGGGGGCAGAGCAGGAAAGCAGCAAAAAGCAGAGCGTTTCGTTCAGGCCGGTTTTCCTGGCGATATGGCCCATAAAACTTTATTTCCCCGATTGTGAACGATAAGGGTCCCTTTGGGGAAATACTAGATATGTATTAACTTCCTCAGGATGTATGAAAATATTTTCGGTAATTGGTAATTAGTGATTTTATGGCTAGCGACTATACGTGTTCTACTTCGTTCCGAAAACTGGGACTAACCACCTTTTAAATGGTTTATTGTTGATGGGGTAAACCCATGATATGTGCTTGATTTTAAATTACACGTTTGATTAGAGCGGTCCAAACATTTGAGGTTCCTCGTTTATGAATCCCTGCAAAGTCATTGCTTGGTTACCAATTTATGCAGAAATCTAATCAGTGGGATCCATTTCTAATCAGCTCGATCAGTCTTAGACTTTTTCTGGCTTTGTTATGTTTTTGAGTGTGTTCTTGGCAAATATATACAATAAGAAATAATCAAAAAATAAAATAAATGTATTATAAATGTATATTAAAAATATATAAATATATATATATAAACCTTTATTTATTTATTTTCAGGGTGATAACCTAAATAATGTTGACTTACTTTTAAATACTTTTATTTAAACATAACTAAACATTTTTAAAAAGTAAGACTTGGTTAAAATGAATGTATCCCCTTGAAAATGGCTTAAACTTATATTTAACTTTATAGAAAAATATTTCTTTGTATAATTTTTTACCAGTGTAGAGTAACTAAATTTTTTGCGTGGTCTGATCGCGTGGTCTGTGAAAGTCGCCCAAAGAATTCCGATAAACAATCTAGCAATATCAGTGCAGCCAAATACCATTTAATACAAAAATTTTGCATGATTCATACACTTTCAGAATGGTTAACTAACGAGTACTAGGTACATATATTTATCATGATTCATATTATTTTGGACAGTTGCCTCATAAATGAGCGTTAAAATCATTGCAACTTTGTGTTTTTTTTCGGAGAATGGAACTTTGAGAAAATTTTGTCAAGTTTGTGACCTGCGCAATAATAAAAAAAGATTTATTAAGTTGCCTTTGTAGACGTTGATTTTTATTAAACAAATTATTACATTGATAAGTTATGCAAATCAACCGCAACAATCTGAAAAATTTTTGAATGGAATTGGAATACTAGTTTTTATCAATAGATGTGATTTATAATCGTTTAAATTCCCAGATAAGCCAAATTGGTTGTGTTTCAGAAAATGAAAGTAGAGGAAGTTGTTAAGCCGTTCTGTTGATCTTATCAAGCAGTTAATGGTAGTTTTTATTAGGCGTAGTAAAATCACTTTATTGATTAACGCGTGACCGTATATTTATTTCGTTTAGTGTGCTCCAAAGGCCCGAAATTATTTAATACAATCTTATCTAATCAATGGGAACCTTTTGTTATTGTGTGTTTGATTTTCTTTTATTTTTTGATTTTGGGCTTGTCTTGAGCAAATTTGTTTAGCATAAATGGCCTAAAAGTATGCCATCACCTGTTTTTAAACGTAGAATGTTTGTTCAACAAATGAAATCGTACCACTAGGCGTATACGTGACATTGGCATTGGTAGTACAAAGTGGTTTCCCGTCTATGTTTGTTTTGTTCACTTTTAGCGTGTATAAATAGTGCTATTTAGTCATATGCCCATAATTTCTTTTTAATAGAGCTATAAAAAATGGGGTTTACGAATTATCTGTGTGTCTGTTGAAAAGTTTGATCAAAACAGAAAAATGATTCAAAGGATGTGATCACACTGGTCTCACTTATCTTCCTCAATGTAAAAGAAGAGCCATATAAATGCCAATAAGGATATTAAGATAAAATTTATTGGTCTATTCACTTAAGTTTAAATTATTTTCCCCCTTTGTCGGTAGATGATGTTCTTTATTCACTTAAGAATTTATTATATCCCCCCTTTGTCGGCAAATGATATCACTTATTTGCTCAACTAAAAAAGAAAACGCCAGATTTCTTGATTTAATAATTACATATTATTTATTAAGTCGCCTGAAGCTTTACATTTGGTTAGATTAAGTTTGTATTACAAATACAGTTGTATATATTTCGATATTCGGTTTTTTGTGCGTGTCTTTTTGTGTAAATCTTAAAAATTACATAAATTTTCGAATCACTTAACAATGAGCGCGGACTGATGAGTGTGTGTTCGCGTTAAAGAAACGAGGAATACTAGATTAAAGCACCGGGTGATGGATGGTGATCTTGACCCTAGTTGCGCTGCAGGGCAAAGGCCACAAAGGCCAAAAGCAGGGAGGCCAGCACGGAGTTCTGAAGCGTAGAGCCCCCATTACAGGCGTTCATACTGCAGGGATCACAGTTGGCCAGTTCCGTGTTGTTGTTCTGGATCTTAAGCTGCTCACAAACCCCCTCCATGGTGGTAACCCGGGAGCAGCCACGATCTGTGGTCATTGTGCCGTTCACTGAAGTAAATAAGAAGAGAAAATGGGTTAGTTTTGATCAACAAAACAATCTATTAAAGCACAAAAAAAGTATAGATCTTAGTTAATATTATTTAGAATAAATATTTTTCAGATTAAAATAAAATGCCTATTTCATCTCTATTTTACATATTAAAGATATAAGATAGATAGATGTAGGATAATAGATATAAGATGTAAGATGTAAGATATAAAAAGATATTTAGATATAAGATACTTTTTTGCAATTGGGAGGTTAGGTTAATGTAAAAAGTTTAGTTATTATAAATATGGTTTTTATAGGACTTAAATATAATGTGCTAATGAAAAAATGTATTATTTTAAGAACCCTCTCTTAAAAAGCTTTACAAAACAATTTTATTTTGGTTTTTAAACTAGTTTTTTGTATAAACACCCTAAGGTTAAAAATATATTTTAAAGAGGGTAATATTGGGTAAATATTTTCGTAATGTTCGATTTCAAACTACATTTTGGACTCACCTGTAACCTGAACGGAGTAGCAGTGGTAGGTGACCCCGGTGTCGACCACTGCTCGTCGCTGCCGGATGGCCAGGGAGGCAATGGGGGTGGTGGTCTCCGCATCCGCATCCACCGGCACCAGACGGGTGGTGTTCAAGAACACCGATAGGGCAGCCAGATCCTCGGCGGGTGGCGTGGGAACTCCGGTGGTGGTCTGTACGGGACCCACAGTGGGTGGCGTGGGGATCGGAGCCTCAGTGCTCTGGGTGCTCTCGGTGGTGGCTTCGCTAGTTACGGTAGTTTCCACGGTGGTCGTCGAGGACTCTGTGGTGGGCGGATCCGTTTCCACACTCGTGATCGCTGTGGTCGTTTCCACAGGAGCTGCTGTCGTCTCATCCGTCGTGGTGGTGCTCGCCTCCGTGGTTGTGGTGGTGGTCACCGTGGAGGCCTCTGTGCTGCCGCCCGGATTGAAGAAGTCCTCATTGCAGGCCAGCAGGGGTGCATCCTTCGGCAACTGGGCACAATCGTCGCACACATAGCACATGAGATCGGCGCGAATTACTGGAATTTAAAGGTAAAAGATTCGATAAGTTGAAGTTCTTGAATCCATAAAACTATATTTATCACTGTTATAATTTTTCCAAGTCCCTTATTACTAAAAATAACTCGTGCATCATAAAAATTGACCTTATTTGGAGACTTAAGACTTGTTTATTATCCGATATAGGCAATACTGTTTTGTTTATTGTTCTTTATAACGCTTGCTTTTTATTTGACCCAGATATATGTCTGTTCTGTTTTCAGGGTATATTTGTATATCTTTTTTCTATTTCTATTTGAAGAGCAAACAAAAGTTGTTGAACAGCTGCTATTATATTATTAATATTTTTTAAGGCGAGTCTTTAACCTACATGATAAAAAGCCATAAAGTATCTAGTAGATACTTTCCATACATAAATAAAACATAATTTGAAATATATATAATTTGTGGATTTCAACTTTCATACCCTACTTTCGTCCACCTTTTTCTGTTCTCCCCCTAAATCGAATTTAATTTTTATGGTTTCACTCAAAATACGGCTTATTTCCTGGCCTTGCCCTTTGCAAACATACATATATATACATTATTGGACTCCAAGATATCTATCAGTTAAAAGTGCTCAATTTACAGCTTTGGCAAATAGAAATATCGCGATAGTCGATAAATGATGATAATAAGAACAAAGAACATGTGAGCACCATAAATCAATTTAAATCCAAAGTATTTGGCGTATTATTTGCCGATTCTTTAGTATTAGCTTGTATGTGCCATTATGTAGTCTTTGATCTAGCGCAAGTAGCCGTTTTTATCTGGTTTTATTCGGGCGCACTCCCCCGGAAATTAGGTTCCATTTGCATGTTATCGTCATCGCAACAACTGGCAAATATTTGCCAGGGGCAAACAGGTAAATAGAAAAACGTATCGGCGTGGGTACACTGGCATAATTGCCGTAATTGTCTTATCAACGGAGGCGGCTACCCTCACCAAACTTAATTATCAGCGGAATGCCAGTGGTGAGTCATACTGATGGACAGCTACGATTATCCGATAAAATATTTAATCTTCACTTGACGGGTTTCCATATGATACCATCGATATCAGAATGGGTGCCAACAAGGTTCTTGCAAAAAGACTTGCTGATATTTTTTCAATTATGGAAATCATCGAACATTCTCATATACAATTTTATAATATTATATGATACCATCTCTATAAGAGCCAGTCCTATGAAGGGTTCTTGCATATTGACAACAGAAGTCTTCTATAAATTTGTATAATATGATATGATACCATTGATATTACAAGTGGTGCCAAAAACTATAGAAGTCATTAAAGTTTAAATAATATCATAATATTTAAAAGAGTTCTATACTTTTATATAATATTATATGATACCATCGATATCAGAATTGGTACCAACAAGTTTCTTGCAAATTGACTTGCTGATCTTTTCTAAAAAAAATTAAAATTAAAATTGTTCTATAAACATTTATAATATGATATGATAGCATCGTTATCAGAATTGGTTTAAAAAAGGTTCATATATTTTCTCCTTCAACTATAGACGACTCCAAACATTCCCGTAATATTTAAATGGTTCCTAGTTCCATAAAATCGTCACCGTCTTCTATAACAATCAAATAATATATCTATGACCACTTTTGTTGATTTATTATTTTAAATTTATCATAAATCATTGTGATTGATGGGATGTTTTTTGGGGTATAAAGGCAGGTCTTAAATTCTCCTGGGGTAATGACAGTATTGTCGGGGCTTGGGTTTAATGGCACGTGATAAGCGCCACCTCGCCACGCCATTTAGATTTTTTTGCACCTTTGACTTTCTTATTAATAACAGCCATTCCCCTTTTATTGTTATTATTATTTTTGCATTAAAACAAAAGTGCAACTCAGAGGTCTTTTGTAATTTTTGTAAAAACAAAGGTGGAACGGTAAGGGTTAATATTTACTTGGGTAATTCCATAAAACTCTCTGTGATGCAAAAGCTGTTTGCCTGAGGGTAATTGAAAGATCATTTAAATTTCTTGAGTCAAAGTTCGTTCTAGACGACTAACTGCATTTTAATCTTTCTCTTCTGTTTAAGGTAAATATAAAAAACCAGTTTAAAGTGGGTTTTTAAATGACTTTGAATATATAGGTAACTCTTCTTGATTCACAAATCAAATAATTTGCAATTGCGTCAAAAGATCGTGAACAAATCTCAGAAATTCAGGTTTTGTTCGGTTATTTTCTGAGTGGTGCTAATGGCCAGACGAGTTTTTCCATTTCGGGCCGCCTTTGCAAAATGTGTTAAGTGTAACTATAACATTTCCAATTAGCGTTTGTGCCAGCTCGTCTCAATGTCAGCTATTATTTGTTCATTATTCTCCATTTCCCCGGCTGACTTTTCCTTTTCATCGGAGGCATAAATTAGAGAGGGCTATGATATATATATGATAATGCCATATAAATTCATTCGAAGGGTGGGAGCTGACTGCTTGGTTGGATGACATTTCCGCATCACACAGCAGTAAAAATATTGAAAAAAAACCCACAAATTGGCAACAATCTTTGCATTATTTATGACAGTTAAATAATAAACAATAAATTGGCCGTTTTAAATGTCACCGTTGTCACCGCTGCTTGATATGCAAAATATTATGGCGAAATGTTCATGATCTTGAATTCTGAATTCGTTTTGCTGGCTTTTTTGGCAACTGCATATCTGTGAATTTATGTATGTACAACACTTTAGACACGAGTTTGTATTTTTAGAAGCAGGCCACACATTAAAATCCTCAAGATATGTTTATCAGATCGCTTGATTCCTTCGGTCTGCTATCTGATACACCCATGATTTACACCTATTTAGGCAAAATAAGACACATCAAAGTTATCACGACACTTTTCACGAAACTCGAATAGCCTCAAATACCCAAAAACACTTTTTACCTGGCAGGGCGATTAGCAACAGCAAAGAGCTGGCCAAAACGATGTGACTTTTGTTGAACATGATATATGGTTATTTCGAAATATATATCTTTAAATATATTTTAAATAATATCTCGAGTATAGTATTTATACTAAATAAATTGTGCTGTTTTTGTTTTGTTTTATTTGGCGCGCTCTTGGTTTGGTTTTGGTATTTGTTTGGGGCGACCGCAGTTTGCGAATTCTGAAATTTAACTGAAAATCTTGTGATTTGTTCGAGACTTTTTATAGAGTTTTAAAAAGCGGACTGCGCAGCTACTGCGACGTCAGCGGCTTCAATGCGTAAGAGAGTGAGAGGCAGAGAGGGACGGCACGAGCCGAGAAGAGAGAGAGGGAAGAGCGGGGCCGTAGAACAAGTTTACCAATTCTTTAGTGATAACAAATTAATTTATAATGCAGACTAAACGAGCACAGATTTAATTATTCGAAGAGACAGAGAGCTTTAGTACTCTTAATTTTATAAGGGGTGGTGGTTCTCTTAATATGTTAATGTGAGAAAATGGGTTCTTCCGTATTGAAATCTTGGGTTCTTCGGCTTTTCCCCCAAGCAAGTGATTCAGATCTGGGGAATCATTTCAGTTTTCCGCTCTCATTTTGTTTTAAGCCCCCTTCAAAAGTTCTTTGTTGCCCGCTAATTAAGCAGCTGATTGTTAGTCAGCCCCTGAAATCCAGAAATTACCCAGCCCCAAAGTGAATTAAGTTACCTGTAATACCATTTGCATAACAATCGTCACTCTTATAACACCCTGGATGTCCCATGATTATTATCCAATATCAGAGCACGAAGAGCAAACAAATGCGGATTAGACTGGGCCAAACAATTAACGGAGATTTCGTAGTGGCTTCTATTGGTTCACCTTATTGGCACCTCTATCTCTCGTTTTTTGCGGCTTAGAACTCTAGATTCGCAATAGCTTAACGAAATTTTCCAGTTGAGTAAGCCTCAAGGTCGAGTTTGCTCGCTAGTTAATTCGATTCACTCTCTGACCCAGAAAGCAGCCTGAAAACCATGGGCAAGGTCAACTGATAAGCCGAACTTTGGTAACTATGTCGTTCTGACTATCTAAAACTTTAAAAAATGTATGTTTTGAATGCATTTTAACATATAGTTTCGTATTATATCATAAATGTATAGAGGTTTGAGCTTTAGAAAAATTTGATTGTAAATAAATTCTAATTTACTGCTTAATATTTAACATTTAAACATTATTGTTAATGTAGTATTACAATGTATACTTAATCTTTTTATATTTAATCCACTACTCATACATATAATAACACATTATTGATTATAAACTTTGTTTTAAATATTTAAATTCTACTAGAACCTATTATGTTGCAAAAATATGTTATAGTCTATAGCTGTGTATTACCAATTAAATCACATAATTCACTTAACTCGGCTAACTATTTTTCCATAATGCCCGGCCCTGAAACTTTACTGCTGCATTTTGGAGATCGTGCGACTAGCCCATGTGCATATAAATCATAATTAACCATTTACCACCCGTAGTTCGTGCCAAATGTCGAGTGAATCTGGTTAGTGGCGGCTGTCAAAACTGACGCATCGTCTGAAAAGCGCGGATTGGAGATAAAAAACTGTAACTTTCCCGGTGACAAAAAGGGGAAAAAGTTGCATATGGTATATAGTATCTTCCAAAGTGTCGACGACATCACGTAAAGTGCTAAGTGATTGTGATTCTCGTTCTCTGGTGCTTAAGCTCAATCTCATTGAGATTCTCTCTGGATTCTCTTCGAACGTCAGCCGAAAGCCGGGTTTCGAAAGGCTTTTGGTCATGCTCGTCATAACAAGGTACTTTACCGTCCCGGAAGCCGACGAAAATAAAACGGGGAAGCGCTTAAAAATCCCCAATGCGAGCCCACAAATCGAGGAGTTAAAAAACCGTATATATATATTCCAAATACATTCTATATCAGCCTAACGAATTTGGCAGTTGCCTTTACAGTTTAGAGCAAGTTTCCTTAAAATGATGCCTTGTTTGCGGTCGCATTTCCTCATCGCTGTATTTAGGACCCACCTCAATTACGAACCCCGAAAAATAATACCATAAATCTGGTAAAAAACGCTTTAGGCAGCAATTGCCACTCGACTTCCTAACGCTTATCGGTGGGCCTAAACGCTTTGTCCACTTGATCAGTATATCATTTTATCAGTTTACGGGTAGCATGAAGTCATGAAATCGTATTTAAACAGAAGCACCCATTCTACTTATCGACAGCTACTAATTAATTTGATTTCGATACGGTTTCAGGTAAATGAATGGTCTCAATGAGCGAGCACTTTCCCCGCAAAGGGACAATACCTTATCGATGCCAATTAAACAATTAGGCGAAAATAGCTCAGGTGCGCTCATTGCCTAGTGGTAAGCGAGCCATTAATAGACACATCATGCGGCTCGTAAATCGACAGGGTCTCCCGAAAAAGAATGAACTCAGACACCCAAATCGAAATCGAACTTTGTGGGCCATATATTATGTATTTCTATAAATCAAAACAATTGACCACAGGGAATGTTGTGATTTTTAGACCAGCCATTGAGTCATAAATGCCATTAGCGTGAGTGTTACAAGAGTCCAAGAATGCTCGAGTTTACTACTCGATGATAGTCCGTTGATGGGCTGATTGCATCCGTCGTCCTGGCACAGTTGGCATCCACCCACAGTCCAGTTCTCGAAGAGTCCATCGCATCCTCCAGTTTGATTACTCATCCTGGCGGTAGTGCAGCCCCTTTTGGTGATCACCGATTCGTTAACTGTGGATAAACACATTGAGAAATTGACTAAATAATAATCTATGGGAGTGGATTGTTGCTAAAATCATAACTCTTTTGAAATCACTGATAAAGGTGTCTGAAAGTATGCAGTGAAAAAAATTTCGTATATTAGATAAATTAATAGGGCTTTCAGATTCTAAATATAAAAGTTACATTCGATTCTAATATATTTATTTTCTATTTTTATTTATTGTTGTCATCTTTATAAGTGATTTCAAAACAGTAGTTATTTTCGAAAATGTATTTTATACAATATTGACTAAGCTTCTGTATTTTGTGATATTGCATTAGTGGTATATAACTAAAATTGTCTTTTATTTAAAGTTATCTGTTTAAAGCGAATATATATATTTCTAGTTGTTTTTAAATATGTGATTTTATGTTGTAGAAGGAAATTAAACTTTGAGGGTGGCTTTTCCTTTCGTATGTTGAAAGAAAAGTACGTTTTGAACTCTAAATTTCCATACTTTTTAATAAGTTCAAGACCTACTTTTAGTTTCTCATGCGTATAAGATTACTCCTTGATCAGATCAAAAATGGTAAAATACTAGTTATTAAAAGTTAATTAAGTTCTTAAATTAAATCTTTGACTAGATTTGAAAATTTAAATTTGAATAAAGACTTTAAAAACATTTTCATATTGGTAGTAAAGTCATTGTTCCCAGTGCATTTCGATTTGCACTTTGTGTTATCTTTTAGTGGATGACTCAATAGTAGATAACCTATCACTGAGGGTGGGAGCATCACATGCGACAGGTTTTTATGATTTTTATGACATTGTGCACTGATGGGAATTGAAGGCCAATGCTTACGTTGGAGCCTCACTGTGTAGCAGAAGGCGATTGGTATATCGAGGTCCACTTGTCGACCAACCGATCTCCGCCTGCGTCGTTCCTCCTCCTCCTCCTCTTCCTCTTCCTCTTCCTCTTCGCTGACAGGCTCTGCGGCTGCTCCTCCGGCAGCTCCATTTCCGGTTCCGGTTCCCGCGGCTGCACCATTTCCTGCTGGCATGATGCCCACGGTGGCCGATTCCGACTCCTCGCTTTCGTAGTCCTCCTCCTCTTCGCTGTTTTCAGGGGAAGCGGGGGCACCAGAGGAAGGACCTCCGCCAGTAACCGGAGGATTGGGAGAGGGCGAACCAGCAGGAGATGGAGCAGGAGCAGGACTTGGACTGGGACTGGAACTTCCAGGGGTGCCCTGTCCATTGCCACTCACAAGGGACCCCTCACACACTTCCATGTCACTTAGCTGAGTGTTCTCATCGCAGTCCTCGCATTGGTAGCAACGCAAAGCTGTGCAGAAAAATATTTTTAATAAAAGAAAGCATTAAGATAATATAAGCTACAGGGTCTTTAAGCAGAAAATTAAAAACATCACTTAAGAAAGATTGAATTTTTTAGTTTTCAAAACTAAGATTTAAAGCCTCTGTTTATACCCTTGCAAGGGGTACTATAAATTAATTCTTTGTTTTAATATTTTTTACCTAAGCAATTGTTAAACTAAAAAATTGTTAACCAAATTTTAGCACAAATGGAAATGTTTATGAAAAACATAACTTTGAACAACAACAAAAGTAAGATTAGTTAACATTTTTAAAAACAATTAACAATTTGATTCGAAAAATTAAATATTTCACTTACGAAAAATTAATATTAATGGTGTTCAGATATCATATTTAAGTTTTATTTTTAGTTCATTGATTTAATATTTGTTTTAAAAACATTTTCTGAAATTGAACAACCAGTTTAAATCAATTCAGTTCAACTTTCAGTTGACATATGGTCATAAAAATAAGATACATAGGATGTCAGAAAATTTATAAAAAAATAGATTTCACTTGCGTAAATTTAACTTTCTTATATAAAATTTAAGATTTTAGATTTCATTTCAAATTAATTATATAACATTTAAGATTTTAAATTTCATTTTAAATTGTTGTTCTAATATTTTTTTTGTTAAAATATAAAACTGCATTTTGTAGAAATTTAAGCTGTCAAAATACTTAGCCAAGTAAAAGTTCTTATAAATAGTCTTAAAACAGTTATTAAGTTTTATATAACCATAGTTTTAAAGGAGCAAAGAATAAAAAAGAAACTTAAAATCTTCATTTTAAAACCAGAAATCTAAATTTGTGGTTACAGAAAGCTATTTTTAGGAATGACATAAGAAATGTGATAATGCACTAAACAATTTTAGAGGCTATAAGCTAATTTGGCTTTGGCAATATGCGGTTTTATCACGCACCCCTGACCTTTACCACCTTATCGGATCCACCTAATCAGCTGGATTACTCCGGCAATAAGCGCACCCTTCTGTGCGGTTCAACGTTGCGTATGCGCAACTTTTGCAACTCGGTTCGGGGTCAATCAATTAGCATGTGGAGGGCTTACACCGCACTATGATTTATGACATACCTGAAACACCTGGGCGAGAGCCAACGAAAGCCAGTAACATCAATAAAAACCACAACGAGTGCATTCCGGGCAGGTGGATGCGATGGGAAAATGGGTTAAGGTTAGGGTTACACAAACGTCAAGGTGTCCTAGTAGGCAACTTTTCCAGATTGAGGAACCCCTAGATGGTAATGTTATGGGTGTTTTTTCGTTTATTTTTCTATTTTCCCGCTCTGCTGTCGAGTCAGCATTTGCTACCGAAAATTCAAATTGAACTGGCACACAGAACTTTCCGGAGGCTGTTGTTGCCTCTATCAAAACTGAATTTCATTGTTATACCATAAACAGGGACTGGAGTCTTTTGGGGGCGGCATTGGTGAAACATGTAGTTCCCGGGAAGCGGGTAGAAAAAAACTACACGGGTCATATGATAGCATCGTCGCAATCTTACAAATTAAATGCGAAAAAAAGAGATGGACTGAGTGAGCGACAGAGGTCGAGATATTGATATGGGGGATGGGGGCGAAGAACTGAAGCATCTTACATGAGTAATGGGAAAATTATCTTTGATTGCTGAAAACAAGTCCAAAAAAGAGAAAAACATAAGAACAAGATTACGTGAAATGTATATCAGGTCTTGAGAACCGAAGAGTTAAATACCTTTAGACCGAAATAAAGTTATAAAATATATATACAAGTTTATTTCTGTGAAAAAATACTAGATATTGTAGTATTCCCAAAAAAAGGAATTTTAAAAAAAATAATAAATGAATTTTCTTATAGCAACTATCATGTTAGAATGCACCCTTTCCTTTTTTTACTCATTTCGAATTACCCCTATTTACTTATAAGTCTTTCCTCCCAATAAAATCCATATACCCCCCGAAAAGATATAGAAACTGTTATACAGCTACTGCCATCCTTATCTGATAGTAATAAATTCGTACACCAAACTCTGTTATACTGTCATACAGCATTTATTCGTGTGCTCTGAAGGTTCAAATTTGATTCCATTTCAAAACTCGCTTACGAACTAAGCAGAACTCGGCGCAAAAACATATAGTACTATATTATTATAAAGTGTGGCTTTCAGGCGATTTCTAAGCTCACAGAATATTTATTGCATTGCTTTCGTTAACATTTCTATTAATTGCACATTTATTAACATTTATTGCATTTGTTTTAGTTCATTTTTAAATTCGCGTTTAGCATTTAGCTGATTGTTGTTGCTTGCGGTTTTGTTTTCTAATGAATTTGTTATTTTAAGCACTTTTGAATTACCTAAGAATACACACTTCATACGTCGATTTTAATTCACATCTACATATATATTGCTTGCTATGAATTATATGAAAATCAAAGGCAATTGGTGAATTCTTATACTCATCGCTCCTAGCATTTATAAAAAAAAACAATCTAATAAAGCTAGATAGTAAGAGCTAATGGCCTAAAAATCCAAACGTTGATATATAGGATTAAGTATACCTACTATTTCTTTTTTTGGTATTTATTTTGGAAAGTGAAAGCTGCATATTTGTTTTGAATCAAAGCAACGTTGTGTGTGCTCTTTCTCTTTGAGTATTTAGTATCGGTGTTTTGGGGATTGTGTACTTAAGTGGGGGTGTGTGCTTACATTTCTAGGATTAAAGGGCGGAAAGGGTAAGTGGGGGTTAAGTGAGTGCCTTTGAAACACTTGTACGAATCAGCGACATTGCACTCAATATTTACAAAGTAAACGGCAAGGGTAACGTGAACGGTAACTCAACCTAAATGCAACCACTCGATCCATCTATATATAGGTTGTATAACCCTCGCCTTACAATCCCAAGTGGATCATAATCATGGAGAGAACCGAACCCAAAGCCAGCGTTATGGCTGCCGCTCCATTGCATCGATCCGTTTTGCAAATGTCGCAGAAGAACGCCTCCTCCGCGGAGATTTCATCGCCATCGTCTCCATCCTGACCATGCCCCTGATTCTTCCGCCTCTTGGTCTCGCTCTTCTTGCGCTGGTCCCGCTCCTCGGTGCTGGGGATTCGGAGCTTGGTCCTCAGGATGTCGCAGGCATCGGAGTCCCCGGTGTCCAGTTGGCAAAAGCGCGCCGTTACCACTTTTCTAGTCTCAGCTGTGGAAAATAAAATATATGATATTATAGCTATAAGAAAATGGTCCTAATTCCCTATACGATACATACATTTGTAAAAGAGCTCTTATTATTTAAATATTGATTTTAGTTTGGAAATCATAGTAAATCTGAAATCTCCTATATCAAAAAGCAAATAGATTTTAGTTAAAATGTTAGAACTCTTATACCATTATATCAATTATAAAATTAGAAGTAAAAGTTTTTAAGATTAAAGATTCTTTAAATATTGATTTTATTTGAAATATCACAGTAAAATTGCAGTCCTCTAAATCACAAACCATATTGATTTAAGCAAAAATGTTACTACTGTTGTATTTTTAAAATGTAAAAGTTAAAATTGTTTTAGTTGAAATTTTATTACTGTTGTATTATTATACTATTTATACATAAAAAGGTAAAAGCTCTTAAAAAAAACCATCTGCATTTTGTTTTTCCATTAAAGATTATTTAAATATTGTTTTTTCTTTAACATCACAGTAAAATTATAATCTTCTAAATTAGTAATATAGATTTTAGTGCACCTTTTAGGACTGCTGTACTCTTATATTATATTGAAAACTTAAAGGTAAAACCCCTAAAAAAAATCCCCTGCACTTTGTTTACCCATTAAAGATTATTTTGTAATTACAATGCAAGCCATTTCCCGCTGATTGTAAATCTGAGTGTTTATCTTTAAGACTTGTTTTATCACCATTGTAAATATCACACTAAAAATGTGCAACTTGCAGCTATCTATATATTCCATAACACTTATACAAAGCCTAGGTAAATATCATATGGCAAATATTAGCTGTAAGTCAATAGATATATACAATTTCTATGATTCATATGACACATTATAAAAAGCTAATGATTTTATATACCTAATAGGTAATACCTATGTAATAATACTTACGGTCCTTGGCCACAACCTTTTGGCAATTCATAAGTGGAGATTTGTTGGCTCCGTTATCGAAATACGCGAATTTGTTCAAGTCAAAAAGCCAGGTGTCTAGGGATCTCATTTTGTCCAAAGTGCACTCCTGAAATAGTCCCATATTATATTATATTATATTAGTCATTACTTGGGTTTGATTAAGGTTTTTTATTAAGTTTTTCTTTCTTTAACAATGGAACAATAACGATTGTTGTTCTACAATATTGTAGCAGTCATGTTATTGAAGTATTAATTGCTGTTGCAGTCTGTGCGTAACTGATTTATCTTATCGAAGTGCACGATATCGTTAACAATGCGTTTCCCGGACGGCCTTGGTTATCAGACGAAGAGCACTTGAAAGCCGTTTATTTAACCCAGATAACTCTAGAAGTAAGGTATTTCTTGGAAGAACGTTGTAGCTTTATAGCCCCATTCAGAAAAAAAGGGGAAAGCCCACTCTATCGTTCGAGATATAGTGGGTGACTATGAGTACTAATAAACAACAGCCAATTGAGTTAAGTTGAGCATTAGGAAATCCATCTTAAGGAATGGAACACTTTTACCAACATTTGAACTTTAGAATCCCTAAAAAACTATACATAATTGCAGTTTATTATTTCTTTTCTATTTTAGCAAATCCACTAAAAACATAAATTAATAATGACGTTTGTTAGTTCTTATTTGTGCATATAAAACAGATAAGAGCCAATTTCATGATAATCACAGACAGCCGTGGCATATCTGCGTTATTTTTGCAAATTCAAATCTTAAATATGACAAACCACACAAATTGATGGGATTACATTGGCAAACCTAATTTGATTTTGAATTATTTATTTTGACAAGAAAATGAAGTTTCGCGTACAGGAAAGATAAGATTAATAAATCCTAGCATATTCACATCTTTGATTTGACAAATGAAATAAATTTCAAGAATTAATTTGACTTATTTGAATGAACTATTTATTTTGACTACAAATTTGGTTATCGCATTTGAGAATAATAAGACAGTTCATATTTTGATGAGTTCAGAAAGGTAATTGTTTTATGTATGTTAGGAATCCTAACTTAGGATCTTACTACTGACTAGGTACTACTTTTTAATTAGGTTATTCATCATTATAGAAGAATGTTTTTTAAAGATAATACTTTAAAATGTAGTATATCACCATTATAAAAGAACAAATCAAGGATTTTTATATAAATATCCCTTTTTTTTTGCTTGTACAACTATTTTAATCTTTAGTTTTTATACAAGATTAGATAATTCTTTTTTGATTTTAAGTAATAACATGAACATTAGAATCAAATAAATTCTTTAATCTCCAACTATTACAATTTAAATTTTATTAGTCTATCGTTGTCAAAGAATTACTCAATTATTAAAATGTAATCTACCATTTTGTTGTTGGCAAAACTTTTATACTTTATTATACACAATCTCTTTCTTTGTTTTCTTGACCATGATCTATTAAAAACTGTCGCTAAATCAAACTAAATCTTCTAACAACTAGTTTTCACAAGAACCTGCCAGGTGAAAATTTACGTTGTTAGACTTTTGTGAAAGTATTTCAACTGTTTGGCACGTGGCCGGGTTAAGTTGCCCCTTTTCCTTCCTAAAATGGCTTTGAAAAAAGGCGAAAGATGCCAGTAACAGAAAATTCACTTAGTTTAGAAAAAGGGCAAGGCGGAAATGGGGGTTCCCCCGCCAGAGGACGACGACGTAGCACGTTTCCGTTTCCGCTTTTGTGGGCTCTATTTCTAACAGTTTCCTTATACTACTTATTCCCCTTTTTTTGGTTTAAAATTTATGTGCTATGCAGTCTTAATTTGCGACCGTCTGGGGCCAGAACTTTGATTAAGGTCAACTGGGTGCGATTAGGCCGGGCTGAAAAGGTTGAGCCCCCTTGACCTGGCTGCCTAGTGAGCCACCAACAACAGGTCCTGTTTAAATCATCAATCAACCATTTGATAGATGATTTCTATTCAATATTATCTTTCACTCACCTCTGGTATAATGCTGGAATTTGAACCCAGATCGGAGCAACTGGGATTATCACTCGAATCGCAGACGAAGCACTCGATGGCGGCGCCTGTGGGAAATACATAGGCAATATACATTTTTATTTCGGAATTTACAGGCCCAATAAACCGCACACACCATTGGAAACCAGGGCCAACAAGGCCAGCAGCAATATAATACCCGACATTATTCGCACTTTTGATTTCTTCGATTTATTGCAGATTTTTGAATTATTTTCTAGCACTCGCGCGCTGTGATTTTCTTGGATTTTTCGTTCCAAGTGCTTTTTTCCGAGAGGCACCGTCACTGTCGTTGGCCAAAGGAAAACTGAAAGCTGAAAATGGAAGCCAACTAGGCGAATGGTATTGGCCTGCAAGCGACGACGTCATCGTTTTTGGCCCCGAACCAAGAAAAAAACCGAAGCAGGTCCTTCGTAATTCGTCCTGGGAGGAGGGTCTCTCCCTGGCTGCGTGGGTGCGTCGCTCGAGTGGCTCCCGATTCCAATTCCGACAGTAATAACGTCTTGGCCTGGTCGCCCCACATGGCAGCAAAGGGTAAAATTACTTAAATTGCAAAATGCAAAATGCAAAGTGCACCAAAAAGATGGCAAGAACTCGTCAAAGGAACAACGCGACCGCGAAAAATGCAATTTGCCTGCGGCCAAACACTTTTTGGCTTCT